TCTCGAACTGCTCGTTAGCAGCTTCGTGCTGGCGATGCGTAGACTCGTAAGAACGGACCAGCGTGTTCATCGAGGAGAAAGCCTGGGAATAAAATGGCAAAACGTGTCAGGAACGGAAGTACTTCGAAACAAGAAGCTCAAAGAACAATTACCTTTAGAAAGTTGGCCGAAGTCTCGGCGTATATTTCCGCCTCGGCCAAATTCTCAGGGCCCATCAACAGCGGCCATGCACACGAAGCAACAAGGTTGGCCGAAGCCACCTTGTCCTTGTAAATCGGCCGAGAGCTACTGTGATCACTCTTCGACTTCTTCCTCTTCTCGGTAGAGTGTTCGCCCCGAGGACGTTTTCCCTTAGACTTGGCCTGTCTACCAGCAGCCAAGCCAACCACGACTTCGGTATGTTCGACCTCGGGAGCTTGAACTCCACTGTCCCCAGCTGGGACATCACCAGACGCTTCGGGAGGAACCGAAGTAGCCGCTAGATCAACCCCAGATCCTTTGGGGCCAAAAACCACCTCGGGCCTGCTATCCGCCTCGGGCGGATTGGATGCCTCGAGCCTTTCAGACCCCTCGGTCAAAGGTTTGAAAATCGCCTCGAGGGCTCTTTTCTGCTCGGCCGCTTCCCTCTCTGCAGCCTTTTTCTCCCTCAGCGTCATCTTTGCCTTCTGCATCTCCATGAAACCGCTTAATCGGTGATCCGAAGAGGATGATAATGACGAGCAGGACACGCCGCGGAGTAGTGAGTATAAAATGTTTGGACCAGTGACACTTCCGGGAAGCCAACTCCTCGTGAATGTCCAAAAGGTCTTCGGGGACGAACTCAAGAAACGTCGGATTGCGATCTGAAAATAAAAGCAAATGGGGTTAGGATAAATCGATCAAGTCTCAACAAAAGAAAATTCAAACGCTTCGGATAAACTACCAATTATGCCCCATTTCGTAACAATTTTATCGAGGCAGTCCTCGGGAACAGAGTCTTCATCTATCGCGACAAAGAAGAAGTGATCAGTATACTTCTCATCTTTGCTCGGGAACCCGCCGATAATCTTCTTATTCTTACTCGGCGAGATGTAATATCTCTCTAAGGGACCCGGGTTACGACGAATTTCTAGAAAATTCCTCAGATGCCTGAGGGATAAGGCCTTATCCGCCTCGAAACTCCTCACCAAGATCCCAACAAGGTGTCGCAACCCGCGAGTCGAGATCTGAGCTAACGCGATCTTGAACGACCATAGGTATTCAACGATCAGCCTTGGAAGAGGGAACCACAGAAAGCAGAAATAAAAAAACCCCTCGTACAACGTGAAGAACCCCGCGGGAGGATTGTCAGCTCGTTCGTTCGGGGTTGGAAGCCTTAGAGTGACCCCTTTGCTGAAACCGAACCGAGCTCTCAAATCTCTAAGGGAGTCCTCGGTGGATAGCGTAGAACCAGGAGGGTCAGGCCTTTTAACCTTTCTGGCTCGTTTCATCTTCTGCTGCTGAGCCTTAGCCGCTTGCATCCTGGCCCGAAGCATTCTTGCCTCTGCGTCGGAGTCATAATGAATCGCCTCGGCCTTAACAAGGAGCAAAGGCGGTTCGGGAACGTCCTTCCAGCAAGAACCCCCAGCTTCATCCGTAGCCGGAGGACGCATCCTCCTCTCGTTTAACGTTGCCTCGGGGTCATCAGGAAACTCTTTATCCCGAGCCACGTTCGCAATTGAATCTTCCCGAGCCACAAATCGGCTCGAATCTCGGCCCTCGGAAGACGATCCCGCTGCGCTATCTCCATTCGGCTCGGAGCGATCTGAAAGACTAGCCTCGGGTCCTTCCGAGGGACTGCTCCAAACCATCTTCCTTTCGTGAACGGGAATGTGTCTGCTTCGGGACGAATCGCTCGAATCGGAAAGTGACATCTTTTGCCTCGGGTAAATTGAAAGGAATCGGAGAAACAAGACTTTGAAATCAGAAAAATACAAATCTAAGATCTAGCACGGCGGAGGAACGACGGAAAGTAAAACTAAGCAAAGGAAATTAAAGAGATCAAGATCAGAGAGAAAAGAAGCGAACCTTAGAATTTTTCCTTGCAGATTGCGAAATGAGGAAATGAAGTAGGAGTCGAATATTTATAGAATGCTTTCGCGCGTCGGGCACGCACGAGTTTAATAATATTTCGCATCCGCCCAAGTCTCAGGCGCGTCGGGTGCGCGTGACTAACATTAAGATACTTCGCATCCGCACGGGTCTCGAGAATCAGCAGAGGACTCTTCCACTTCTCGAGGTAGAATCTCAACCGTCACACGCGCCAGAAGAAGATGAAGCGTCAAAGGGATTCGAATCGTCAAGAGAATCAGAATCACCGAAGGACACTAACCATCTTTGAAACATTGAAAATTTTGCGAGATACAAGGACGGGCTCGGAACAAAGTTTAAAACGGCTCGGACTAACAGTCGTGAAGCTCATCGTTTGCTCCTCAAATCAACGAGCTGGGGGGCTAACTGTTGGGGTCGGATTCCATCCCTAGCACCGAGCCGGATTCGGACGCCTCGGGGAACTTCTGAGGATCACCTCGGGGAATCGTACCAACCACTTCGGAGGAAACGAGCCATCACCTCGGTGCAAGGTGCCATTCACCTCGGGCCAGTACAACGATCGCCTCGGGAAACGCCCGTAGCCTGCTCGGGATCTGCTAGCCAGCTTGTGAACCCGAGCCGGCTCTCTTCAAGTACCCGAGCTGGTTCATGCCAGGATGCCCGAGCTGGCTCCTTCTGTGCGCCCAAGCCGCTTTCCCTCGGAAGCCCGAGCTGCGCATCTCTTATCTCCAAGCCGATTAATCAAGTTACCCGAGGTTAAGTCTTCATCGTCACCCGAGGCAAAGACTTAGTAAATATTCGTCTTCAAAGTATCATTTCCAAGCAAGGCGTCATGTCCGAAAAAGAAGGATCATTTCCGATAGACCCGGAAATGATAAGGAAGAATCTCAAAGGATCAACTCAAATCGGGAAATCTTCCAAGAAACTCCGAAGAATAAGGAAACTATCCAAAATCCGCGATATTCTAAGCCGACTTCAAGATAAATGGAAATCTTCCGAGAATATCGCTGGAGAGGCGGTTTACCACCCCTATAAAAAGAGACTCAAGGCTCTCGCAGAGGGGCAAGCAAGATCGCTCTAGAATTTACACTACGCAAAGCTCTCACAGCACAAACATCTTTTTCTTTTACGATCAAACTCTTGTACGATCAAAGTCATCTTTTTCTTAATAATATCAAGAACACCATCTTTGGTATCAATTGATTCTGTCGTTCTTTGAGAATTCTCGCGAATCGTATCCCTAAATTAAAACCCTAGACAAATCTCGATTGTGTTAGTTTCGACTTCCACACCATACATCATGGCAAAATGTTAATGAGTTTTTTTTTTCCACAAACCAAAAGCCTTCCTATGTTATTGACACTAATCTTTGGTAGATGAAAAAAAAAAAAAAATGACACTAATCTTTGGAGAGGTTTTAGAGAATGAGAAAAATTTGGAAGCTTGATTAATAAATGTTTTTGGCAATAGAGAAAGAATATCTGTGCACAAAAAGAAAACATATTGAACCATTAATATTAGAAAGATCTACAAAATATTATATAAAATAAAATATAAATAAAAAATGAGAAATAGTTCTTAAAAAGGGAGAAATGGGCTGTTAAATAAGAAATATTACACACCCTCTTTCCTCTTTTAAGAACCCTTATAATATTCTATTATTATTTTGTATATCAAAATTGTTAAGAGCCCTATGTAAGAGCCCCTTGTTGGAGGTGGTCTAATTTGTTGTCTTTTTTTATTTCTTAATAAAAACATTTCTATTCACACATTGAAAATTGGGTGCTTAGCTCAGAGACAAAATTGGGAGAGCAAATTAGCTAAAAGACAATAGTCTAAAACAATGGATAAACTACTTTAAAATTGGGTCTAAAGTTCAAAAAAATTACACAAAAACCAGTCTTGAATATTATCATGCGCGTGAAAATAACTTAGTTGACTTTTTGTCCAAAAGCATTTAGTTCTGACATATATTTAATGCAAGTAGACATTTATTGACAGTGAGACTAATATTAATCGTTGTTTTCTCTAACTAGAGAAGTTTTAGCACGCTATAAACATATATTACATGTCATTAACATTTGTACACATGTTAACACATATATAAAGCGTTAAAAATAGTTATAGTATTAAGTTATTCGATCTATATATACATGCAAATATATATATAGAGCGTTATTAACATGGGCATAACATAAACATGTACATAGAGGGTTAAATTTATTTATATGCATATAAACACGTACATAAAGCGTTATTAACCTTTGTATACATGTAAACACATATATAGAGCGTTATTTAGAGACCAAAATATCATTGGAATCATAAGTTTCGTCGGATTTTTCAAAGATTTCGTCTGTTTTCGTCGAATTGTCACCGGAATTTTCGCCGGATTCCATCGACTTGTCACCAGATCTGCATCAAATTCTATCAAGTCATCACTACATCTTAGGTGTGATTCGTCATCCCAATAATACTGATTAAATTTCATCATCGCTAGCGGGTTTCCGTCGTTGAACCAACGTCATCGAATCATCAAATGTAATCACAATTTCTTTCGTCTATAGCAAATCTGTTATTAGAGACAAAAACTAACAAGATGCATGATAAATCTTGAATAAATGAAAAATCAATTACGATAAATTCCAAAACTCAATCATGTTTAATAATTCAAAAAGATAAGAGAGAAAGAATAGAGCAAAAATATTTTTTTTTTCTGGAAAAATAGAGCACTATTAACATAAATAGACAATCAAAAATTCGAGAAAAGTAAACGAAAACAATTATATCTTGGCTAGCTAAGTTTGTAGAGTTAAAAAATACGCTTTTCCATCTCGAAAAATGATCAAAATCATTCATTTGTCTCAGGTAATAGGTTGACTATGAAATGAGATGGTGGGGCGCGTGAGGTTAAAATGGACAAAAAAAAGTGGCTAAAATTATCATTGTTATGGATTTTACTAAAAAACTTATTTCTCTCTGATTCCTTGTCTCCCAGCTAATTTGCTCATTATATAACTAAATCAAAATTATAAAATAATAACACTTGAATGATTCCACACAGTAACATTTGCGAAACATGAATCACTTTCTTATCTTTTAAGGCTCCTTTGTTCTCTATGTCTTACAAAAACTCAATTGTTGTTTTTCGTATCAGCGTGGCGGTGTATCAACCTCTTTTCCATCGGTTAAAAAGCAGAGCCATAGGGAAAAGGAGTTACCAACGCAGCTTCCAATAGTTATCCTCAGAATTTCCATCAGTCTGTTCAGCCATTTCATTAAACCGTTGCTCCTGAACATGTGGTTAATCTGCGCTTGGTCCTCGTCCCTACTGAGACAAAAATCCAGAAATGAAACCAGACTAGGTAGACACTACAACATCTAAGCTGTTTTAAACAGTCATGATGTGTCAACTGTCAAGTACCTGGCACTTACTATACTCGCAGAAACTGCATTTGTCTTATTCATATCATTTCAAAGCTTCTTTGTCATAACTAGTTTCCTTGAAGGCCTATACATAGTCTCACAAATATTATATAACATACCATATAACTATTAAGAACTAGTTATGTATTCATGGTTACCATTATGAGACCACCATTGCAAGGGAAGTTCTCAGAGAGGAAGTCCATCACTATGGGGAAGCAGACCATGCTTGTCAACCCATCAACAAGATTGCCACTACTTCCACTTGTTCCGTCCTTCTCAGCAATATCAGCTTTGTTTCCAATAACGATGTATGTGATGGGAAGAAAACCAGGCCCACCAGAAGAAAGGAGGAGCTGAAACTGTTCTAGTTACTGAAACTTCAGAGCCCCCCATTTCTACAAATTAGTTTTTGTTCTTCTGTGGGAAAGATCATGAACAAAATCAACTGCTGCAAAATTAACAGTCACATAAATGGCAACAAACATAGAATAAAATGATAGTATTTGAGACATAATTGAAAAGACACACCTTTAATTTATGAATAGAACAGTGAGCGGAAATCTTTTTCTCTCTCATGACCTGGTATATAACTGATAACAACAAAGGTGGTTGTTAACTATTGAACCATATATTACTTCTACTGATAGATATTCTTCAAAAAGGGCATAACTTTCTCTACTACCTTCACAAAATGTCACAAGGTTCTCTTTTCCTCATTACATGATAATAAATGAGCATGTCGCCAAAAGTGGACCCAAAAGAAGACATTTCAAAGAGCACAACACATAATCGTAGGTCTCAAAGGGAATATGGGAAATCGCCTCACGAATGCCTTTTAAGAGTATGCAAAGGAAATCAGCGCTCTGGGAATTTTTGGAGATAATTTCAAATTCTTTATACTTTGATCCTAGCTGATAAAGAACTTTATAAGAAAAGCTTTAAAAACTTGAAACTCGAAACAAAGAACGCATGAACGGAAAATGGATTATGAATAATATATGAGTGTTTACCATTTTCCTGAGATCTTTAGGTAGCCGTGTCGCCAGAACTGCAAAGTACTCTTGCTCCCGAAAAATTGGAGTTTATAAGGCTATCAAGGCGATTAAATCTGTCTTAAACAACCTGGAAGATATTTCTTTAAGTCAAATTTTCTAATAGAAAAGTTTGATCAAATTAGAAAGAAAAGAAAAATTGTGTTTATCTCATCTATGTTATGTTCATAGCCGGCAATAATCTTTGGAAGCTTCCTTTCTTTCAGCAGAAGGATAATCATTTAATCAAGATCAAGCTTGGATATGAATAAGTTCACCAGCCTGTCAAGAAAACAATGGATGGGTTAATAAATTTCTATAAAAATGTAGGAAACATAACATCTCGTCACAAGATAGCAAAATTTTAAAGACGAATAGATATCTGAGAAAGAGGGTTTACATAGGGCCGGATACCATGAAGACCTCTCTTCTCTGACCAGGCATAGCAATGCTACTTGATTCAAACTCTACCCTGAAATCTGAAAGCATGAAGCATTTCTCTTATTCAGTTGATCTTGGAAATATACTAGAACAGTGAGCCGATATAGGGTTTAGTGGTGTTGTATTTTAAGAGTCCCATGTACTACGAACCCTCAAGTTTAGGGTATTGATGTTCTAGCAAAACCTGGACAACGACAAATTAAAAAATGGCAGTAAAAGTATATCCATGCTTTCTATAAAACTTACTAGTGTATATAGCAGCATTTAACTCTACTGAAATAGACATACCAATTTGTTTTAGCTATAGGCCTTTATAATTTCTTTTACCTTATAGACATACCAATTTGTTTCCAATGTAACTAGGACGTTTCCATGGTAACCTGGTATTCATGGCTACATGAGAAAAACATATAATTCTCCCATAAGGTAGTAATTATGGAAAAGGAACATAGTAAACATATTTGTAATTACTATTATATCTCAAGGCATTACCAAGTAAGCGAGGATTCAAAGAACTAATTATGCAAAAAATTTGGTAGTAATATGTGGGGAAAATTGGTCTGAAAACTAAGCTGAAACTTCCATCAAGCATATTAATCAAAGCTAGCCAACCATCAACAAGCTCTGCAACACATGTGATTAGCCAGATTATAAAAATAATCTTGAATCATTTTTACAGAACCTGAACTGTAGAATAAGTAGATTACCAGAGGTAGATCTAGCAAGGGCATGATGTCATTCATCTTTTCCATTTTTTTGAGCTCCACCTTAAGCGTCTCAAGATCTTCCTCCTATTCTTAAAGCAGCTATCCTCTCGTTTCATAGATTCTTTAGCTTCCTACAAAATCAGAATGGAGTCAGTGTTCTTGCTTATCTTTACAATCAAAACAGTTCTCCACTGAAATAGTTCAGTTTTACTTTTTTTCTTAAATAGAAAGTTCCATAAAAAAGCAAGGATACAAATTTACTCAAGGGGATACTGACAAATTTCCAGAATAAGAGAGACAAAAGCCTCCTCTTTCTGCTTATAATCCCAAATCAAAATTAGTTACTAAATACAATCAAAATAGGCCAACACAAGCAATACATGATGCAGCCAGTAATACACAGAGAAAAAGCACACCTGAAACTAGGCTGATTGTTTCTTTGTGTTTGCATTTAAGGTATTATAACATGGAAACGCAAACACTTGGATCGTACTCACGACTATGAAAAAGGAAAAAATCATAAACTGTTTTGCATTAACTAGACACAAACGATCAGCATCAAACTTTGTGGAATATAATTAAAATAATTGTTAACTTCGTTCAGTGAAATCAAGATTTCAACTGTGTAGCTCTCTGCATAGTGGCTTAACCACCAGTGGCAGAGCTCTGATCATCCTCTGAAGATCATGAATCCTCGAGTTTGAATCATTTTTATCATCTTTAGCCCTCAGCTTGGGGTATTGATATATTCTATCAGAACCTAGACAAAGACAAATTAATAATTGGCAGTGAAACAGTGAGTATAACAAACATTTAACTCAACTGATTGTGATATTTTCTCTTATTCTGGTTGTTTTTCTTCTCCAACCATTAGTCGAAGATCCTCAATCTCGGTACGAGTTTGCTCTAGTTGTTGTGCTACGTTGAATACCTCGTTCTTTAGCTGTAAGAATTGATATAGATCATATCTCCATCCTCCAGAAAATTATAGGTCAATTGGAATGTGTACAAGAAAATTAATAAATGCAGAGAGAAATTATAAGTGTAACTGCAATAGCAAAGAAGATGATTTTTATAACAGTGAAGCCATGGTAAAACCTATTTCCTAAGATCTTAACCTGGTGATTGGATTATATCGAGCTACAATTTCAACCTCGAGGTCCTTCTCCGTCAGTAATGCAGTTGTGATAGAATCAATCGAAGCCTAACCAGGCTTCTCAACTCACTTTCCAGTTTGGCCAACTCCCGCTGCAAATATTTACTAAAACTTTTTATCACAAAATACAAAGAAATTTACCGGATATATAAAAGAATGTAACAAAAGCAAAGCAGACAGGGATATATTGGAGCAGTGAACTTAGTTTGTGTTGTATTCTCAGAGTCCCCTGTACGGGACACCCTCAGCTTGAGGTATTGATGTTCCATCGGAACCTGGACAAAGACATACTAATATTTGGTAGTGACATAACATCTACGCTTTATGTAAAACTAACAAGTGAAGTGAATATAACAGACATTGAATTCTACTGAGAATTTTGATAGTGTCTCTTTTTCGGGTTGTTTTCTTCTCCAACCATTCGTCAAAGATTCTCAATCTCGGTGCGAGCTTGCTCTACTTGTCGTGTAGTTGGAGTACCTCTTTCTTCAGCTGTAATTAGAAATGAGATAGATCATAACTCAAACCTCCAAAAAACAATAGATCCATTAGATTGTGAACAAGACAAAAACTCAATTCTCATTATACAAATTCCAAAAATCTCTTTAAGAAAATTAATCAAATCTCGATTACCTTAACGATGGGGACTTAACCAGAAAAGAATCCTGAAGGTATAACGAGTATTGTTACCGTTGATGGAAGTCTCTCTGGCGAACACGATCAATGCTTTCTCCTTCTTCTTCCTCAGGATCTCGTCTTTTCTCCTTCAAAAAATCTTCCTTCTTCAACATCGCCTCCTATTGCACTAGATCTTTCTCTAACGGCTTCGTTTCTTTCCTCTTCGCTGAGATCGACGACAACGGAAGCTCGACGCTTTTCTACAGCTTCTCAATTACTTCACCGGAGATGGAGATGTTAGAATTTGGTAGAGCGTCTGAGAGCCCCAACGGTCATAATTCGAAATCCAAACTGGTAACTTTTGTGAATTTAAAAGACTCTTGGTCTCCAAGGCTTACGCCTTACGCGAGTTATATCACTCGTTTCGATTTTTTCTGACCGTTTGAACTTTGAAGAGTGTTTCTTCAATTAAACCAAACCAATTTCACAAAACCAAATTCTCAAAACTGATTCTTTTGGTTCGCATTAAACCGTTTAGTTTAGTTTAAAATTGGTTTGGTTTTATTGAAGAACACAAATTGGTTAATTAATAACGTAACCAATTCGTCATCAACTACCATTTCCTTGGCCAATGGTGCTCTTCTCTGAGACTAGAGGAATCACTGAAAAAATCAGACTGACTATTTTCGCAAAAAGTTCCGGTGAAATCCGCCGGGAGTTCTCAATTTTTGGAAAAGAAGTAGCTTTTTGTAGTTATTGAGACGGAGATTCCAAGGTCAAGGGAGATATCAGAGACATTGTTGTTACTAGAAACGAATCTAGATCACGATAAAGATGTACCCGAGTGGAAAGACCAGATCACGATCTGAGGCTTAATCTCTAGCGCCTTGTTAGGGATTTTGTTCTGTATCATTACACATAAACTCAATCTAACAATCGGAATCATTCATTCGCTTAATGTAGCTGCTGGCCTTCTCGGATTCTTCTTCGTCAAGTCGTGGATTGGCTTCTTGTCTAAATTAGCGGTAAAAATCGTTACTTGCTTGAAAATGGGTCAATACTAATCTTCTTGATTTGATTACGTTTAGTTTCCTGTGTGTTGATGATGAGAGAATCATTCAAAATATAATAAGTTATTCTAGCTACTGTGCAAGTTTAATATGGATCCACTTGATGACTTTGCTGAAGGGAACTGTAGCTATTCGAGATTGATGATGATCAAGTGTGATTTTTTAGTCTTCTGATAGTGATATGTATTGTGCCTAATCTGATATAGTTTCTTGAATTCTTGTTTTTTCAGGAGGATTTGGTTGGTATTTGATAGCTATGGATGATAGGACATATAAGCTCATTGGTTCTGATTATCCTGGAAACAATCCTGAAGATGTTATATACCCTGGATTGTGGTGGATGACTGGGTTTTTATTTGTAGTTAGCTTTCTCGGTCTCTTCAGTCTCGTTCCACTTCGCAAGGGGTAGCATCTTAATACTGTAATCAAAAACTGTCTAAGAAACCAATAATCCAAGAAAACACTATTGTTTGATCTCTTGATCCTTATTCAATAGTGTATCTGAGGTGATGATTTTGGACTACAAGCTTACATATGCAACCGCTACAGCGATGTTGATTAACAGTTTCCACTACAACACTGGAGCTGAGCTTGCAGGGTAATTGTCAGAGATTCATCATCAATTTCACCTCCCTGCAAAACATAGCTTGAGTTTCACTAAATATTTATCTCCAATATCATTCACTTCAAAAACCAAGTTAAATGTCTTGGGAAATAGCTGAGCCTTAGCTTAGTTTGGAGTTGCTTCAAGTGGTTCTTCAGTGGTATTGGAGATGCATGTGGGTTTGATCACTTTCCCACACTTGGTTTGACGCTATTCAAGAACACGTAAGCTAACCAATTTAGTACAGTTTAACAATAATCTATTGTAAATGAGAATGTTTATATATGTGGATCTAATTGGTAACGAGCCCTAAATTCTGCTGCGCAGGTTTTACTTTGATTTCAGTCCTACTTTTATTGGATGTGGTATGATATGTCCCCATTTGGTGAACTGTTCGGTCCTTCTCGGTGCTATCATTTCTTGGGGTTTTCTCTGGCCATTTATATCACAGCATGCTGGGGACTGGTATCCAACTGATATAAGGTACAATAAACAGATCAAGTAGGAAGAATTTAATGTAAGTTGATGAGTTTCGTCGGTATTCTCTTTGTGGTGATTGCTGATTGTTTTTCATATCATTACCATACTTATAGGTCTTTATCGCCATTGCTATCATCCTTGGTGACGGTCTCTACAACCTCATTAAGATCATTATTGTCACTGTGAAGGAAATCTGCAACAAAAGCTCCAAACAACACCACCTACTTGTGTTTACCGACAATTTAGGTGCAAAATATCTACTGTATATGTTTCTGTTTCATCTATCGCATTATCTGTTAGTTATAGTAAGAGTTATTAATAAGGTGCCTCTCATGACCATACTGAAAACGTCTGTCTCAAATATATTCTTAAGAGGTTCGTTTTGCATTCTTAATTCAGATAAAAGTAAGACCTCAGAATTAATGCGGGAGAAGAAGAAAAGAGATGACATATTTCTCAAGGACCGTATACCCCTCGAGTTTGCGGTTTCTGGTTATGTGGGTCTTGCAGCCATTTCAACTGCTATAATCCCATTGTTATTCCCACCATTGAAATGGTACTTTGTCCTCTGTTCATACTTAGTTGCCTCGGGTCTCGCTTTTTGCAATTCTTATGGAGCTGGGCTCACGGATATAATGGTGGAGTCATTGCCGGTTTAGCAGCCTGTGGCATTATGATGTCAATCGTCTCAACTGTAGCGGATCTCATGCAGGATTTTAAAACAGGTTACCTCACACTATCATCTGCAAAATCCATGTTTGTAACTCAACTTTTGGGTACAGCAATGGGTTGCATAATCGCTCCTGTCACATTCTGGCTGTTTTGGACTGCTTTTGATATTGGAGATCCTGATGGTCTATACAAAGCACCTTACGCAGTTATCTACCGTGAAATGGCTATTCTCGAGATCGAAGGCTTTGCGAAACTTCCCAAGCACTGTTTGACGCTTTGTTGCAGATTCTTCATAGCTGCTCTGATTGTAAATCTCTAAGTTAATACCACTTCCAATGTTCCAATTCCATCACTCACTATGATAAATTAGTTTCGAATAGTCTCAAACTATTACTAAAAAATCATTGGATATGGTTAAAATTATTAACTAACATAACCTCAAAACGCTATTCTTTATTAAATTATTGTCATAAACATACACATTTCTTATAATAATATACATTAGCTATATATTATAATTTATATCCATTCTTACAAGATAATCACAAATTTGACGATAACTAGCAGAGGATGCACGGATTTGACGATAACTCTCAGATGGTAACCCTTATACAGATGATCTCAGGCTCTCTGAAAGGTAAGATTCAATTTTTTTTTTCTGTCAAACATGATAATAATAGGGTAAGCCGTTTTTCTAGAAAACGGTTCAAATGGCTTGACAAAATACTATACTTCATTCTCAATTAATATTTAATAGTATGGATTATTTTTTTTTCACAAAACAAAATATTAAATACAAAATAAAATACCTTTTAAGTTTTAAGAAAATAATATTCATCACAAAACAAAGTTAAATCTTTCTTTTCTCCAACGAAATCCTTATCAGATTCTTAATCAAAACAAAAAAAATTCTACTTCAACGAATAAAACCCTAATTAGTTTTTTTTTTTTGGAATCGATTACTGAGATTTCTAATCATGTGAAAAGCATTAAATAAAACTTACGTAAATGTTATAATTTGTTATTATGTCATGTACTTGTATAGATTATAGACCATTATTTTGTAATATAAAACAAAGCAAAAATTGTCAAGAAAAGATGTCGAAATAAAAAAAAAAAAGTCAACATATCACTCGTTACAGAACATCTTCAATTTACATTTTTTTTTCTTTTCGTTTTTTCCTAATATAGTTTTCCATTTGTTCAATAAAAATATTTTCGACAAAATTAATAATTTTTGTTCATATGGGCTTTTTCTTGTTAGAAAAGAAATATGTAAAAATAGTTTATAAGAGAAAAAAAAAAAAGGAAAAAAGAAAGTAATAAAACGTTCTAGAGAGTTCCATCCAACTCCACAAAACCTCAAACAAAAGCAAACGCAATTAGCCTTCATAAGAGAGAAGTCCTCTCACAGAAACAGCAGCCACATCAACCAAACAATACCTCTTCTTCTTCGTCTCCTCCATCGAAAGAGAGTCTCTTTTCTCTCTCTTTCTCCCTTCAATCTCTAGGGTTTTCGTTAGAACGGCGAAAAGATGTTCGGTAGAGGACCCTCGAAGAAGAGCGACAACACTAAGTTCTACGAGATCTTAGGTGTTCCTAAGAACGCATCACCAGAAGATCTCAAGAAAGCTTACAAAAAAGCTGCTATCAAGAACCATCCTGATAAGGGTGGAGATCCCGAGAAGGTGAAATATTCTTAGATCCATTTCCTTATCGCTTAGATTTTGTCAAATTCGATCTGGGTTTTGTTCGTTTGATTGCGATTTTTCGATTGATTGTTGTCTTGTGAGTTTCTTAATCTTGAATTTTGATCCGATCTGAAAAAAGTTAAAAGAGTTTTGCTGAAGGAAAGTTAGGGTTTTTTTTTTTTTTTTATGTGGACCAAGACGCTTTAGATGTTTTGTTTGAGCTTTGTGTTGATACTAATGGATTGGTGTGTCTTGTTTTGATAATTGAGTGGTTAAAGTTGGGTCCTTTGTTAGGAATTGGAGTGTATGAGTTTGGTTTGTGGTGTTATGTGTGAATTGTGATTTTGATTGGAGTGTAATTCATATATGTAATTGCAGTTCAAAGAGTTAGCTCAAGCTTATGAAGTTCTTAGTGACCCGGAGAAGCGTGAGATTTATGACCAGTATGGAGAGGATGCACTCAAGGAAGGAATGGGTGGTGGAGGAGGTGGACATGATCCATTTGATATTTTCTCATCCTTCTTTGGTAGAAGCCCCTTTGGAGGTGAGTTTCTTTAGTCAATGTCTATTCTCTGATATCACAATTGAGGATTTGCTTTTCATTGATTTGAATTTTTTTGGTTATGAAATAGATGGTGGTAGCAGCCGGGGAAGGAGGCAGAGGCGTGGTGAGGATGTTGTTCATCCTTTGAAGGTTTCTCTTGAGGATGTTTACCTTGGAACAATGAAGAAGCTCTCACTTTCTAGGAATGCTCTCTGCTCAAAGTGTAACGGGTTAGTACATTCGACTCGACGTCATTTTTTTACATTTTCAGTGTAGCTATGTTCATAAGAATATGAACTAGCTGAAGCTTTGACAGAAACCCTTTATCTCAGAATAATTCTTTAGTTAATTGTTGTAGTTTGATCGAGAAAATGCCAACTTTTTCGGACCCCAGATGGTAAAAAGGTTCTGAATTTGTGATTTTTTGTTTATTATTGCAGAAAGGGGTCAAAATCTGGAGCCTCCATGAAATGTGGTGGATGTCAAGGTTCTGGTATGAAGGTGTCAATTAGGCAGCTCGGACCTGGAATGATCCAGCAGATGCAGCATGCATGTAATGAATGCAAAGGAACAGGTGAGACAATCAATGATCGCGACAGATGTCCGCAATGCAAAGGAGACAAGGTGATTCCTGAGAAGAAGGTGCTTGAAGTGAATGTTGAGAAGGGAATGCAACACAGTCAGAAGATCACATTCGAAGGACAAGCAGATGAAGCGGTATATACTCTCAGACATTTGCTCCAGCTTTGATTACTATATGTTTTTTTTTTTTCTGGTGACTAACCTTTTGTTTTATGTTTCTGTGTTGGAACAGCCCGACACTGTCACTGGAGATATAGTGTTTGTCCTTCAGCAGAAAGAGCATCCGAAGTTCAAGAGAAAGGGAGAAGACCTCTTTGTGGAGCACACACTTTCTCTAACAGAAGCTTTATGTGGCTTCCAATTTGTTCTGACTCACTTGGATGGCAGAAATCTTCTCATTAAATCTAATCCTGGGGAGGTCGTGAAACCTGGTATGTATTCAGACCCACTGTAATAATCTGATTTTACAGTTATCTGTCTCTGATTGAAACATGTCCCTCATAATGATGTATTTGACAGATTCATACAAGGCAATTAGCGATGAAGGAATGCCGATATACCAGAGGCCATTCATGAAGGGTAAGCTCTACATCCACTTCACAGTGGAGTTCCCAGACTCGCTGAGCCCTGATCAAACCAAAGCACTGGAAGCTGTGCTGCCTAAACCCTCAACAACTCAATTGAGTGACATGGAGATAGATGAATGCGAGGAGACCACGCTCCACGATGTCAACATTGAGGATGAAATGAAGAGGAAGGCACAAGCTCAAAGAGAGGCTTATGACGATGACGATGAAGATGATGACCATCCGGGTGGTGCTCAAAGGGTGCAATGTGCTCAGCAGTAAGTAACTCCTTAGAGAGAGACTATTACCCACATGGGTTTGGCTCCAACCATTTGTCTCTTGCTTTTTCATTCTAAGTGTATTGGAGTCTTATGGGAGTTTGGTACGGTTTAAGAATTTGCCCACTTCGGTGGAACATCAACTTGTTTATCTTTTTTCTCTGACTCTTAAAATTAAGGCCTTATTACACAATTTTGTGTTTTGATAATATGTAGTAATTTAATGTTTAAGAATACATACTGTGTTTTTTTCTATATTGATGCGAATTTAAAAGTTCAATGATTGTGTGCTAAAATACGCATTACAAATGCTACACTATAGTCATAAGATGTTCAAATTTATGCCTTGTGTTGTATATTAGTAGTCTAGAAGATGATATTAAATAATTGATTCATGTTTCACCAAGATTTGGGGTCTGTGGTTGTGATAATATCTGCTAGATGGGCTTTAAAGCCCATAGACTTTTAAAACCATAGCTCACAGTCACAACTGATGTGGTGGCTTGGTTAATGCCACGTCACAATCTACATATACATTTTTACAGGGGATTTTTGCAAAAAGTCTTTTGGATTCGGGTTTTATTCGGGATTAACTCTATCCGGATCTTGGATAAGGAATTTTAGGAATGTTGTCTTAAAACCACATTAATTCTTAATTAACACCTAAATTGGAAATATATATAATATATCTAAACTAATAATTGCAATTCACATTTCTTGCCTAAATAAAATGAACTATATTAATTCCGTATTCAATCCACCTAAAAGATTTAGGAAATTTTCTCATGATAAACGATATTTAAAGATATTATCCTAAAATGGTTAGGAATATATGTAGCATATTCTAGATTTGTGATAATTTAAAGATTTTCGAATATATCAACGCCTTGCTAATCAAGATTTTGGATATTCTCTAACACAAAACCCTACTAACCTATCATAACTCTATAAATACTTGATTGTTTCTACTACTTCTGAACACACAAAACACCAGTTGCATTCTTTAACTTTCCAATTTCTAATCTTAATGTGTTGTTTGATTTAATTTCTTGAAATTGGATTCGATTAAACTTTGAATTTTTGTTTATACGTTTAGAAATAAATCTATTTTGAATTTTCTACGTCAATCATTTTATGAAATTTGAGGAAAAAGATACAATTCTTTTTTTATATTCATCAATTCTTTTGTTCATATACATCGCTAGAGTCTTTGGATATTATTAACTTTTTTTTTGTTCGTGTGCAGATTCTTTGTGGTCGATCATGTTGGTGATGAGTTACGACTACTCTCAATGCTAGATGCTTTGGTAACAAGTTAATTTCTATATAATATGGATTTTCCACTTACAGATTTGGAATGTCAGATTTTGTGAGTTGAAAAACTATTTATGTTTCAAAGTGTATATCTAAGCTATACAAAAGAAGTATATTTGACATCTTTTTCTCTTTTTATATTTGAGACTGTAGCCATTAAGAGTATAAAATATCTGCAAAAGATGAAGACCAACATAGAGACACCAATTTGTATCAAAAACAGGCAATTACTCATTTGACTAACTCTGGTTGTGTTATACGTACGTTTATTATTCTTTCAATTTGCTAACGACCTTATATGTGACTATTTAGTAGAGCTGCTGATTTGTATAGGCAGATTCTTCAGCTAAAGCCATTGCTGGAGTACTTTATTAAAATTTCTGACTCAAAAAATTTATATGTTTTGTTTTATATACGTTTATTATATTTTCACTTTCACTTTGGCTAATGATCTTATGTTTGACTATTTAGTAGAGCTTAGCCTAAAGTGCATTAAGTGAATGCACCATTTTACTAAAAGCAATAGACACAGTGAACAAGGTATCATCCATTTGTTTTCATATATTATACTTGATTTGACAAAATTCATGTTTGCTTTTTTATTGTATTCAAACCAATAATAATCATATTGAGCTTACATTTCTTGGGTGTGAAAGTAGCTTGATTACATAAAAACTCCAAAATCAGAAACATATAAGAACGGTTGAAGAAGACGAGAAGGTTCTCAAAAGAGATTTTTATTTTATTTTATAATGCAACATTTTCTGTTTTTTCATAGATTTTTCAATTAAAAGTCCAAAGGGTAAAATACAGAAAAGACAAGTGAAGCCTAATTAAGGCCCAATACATAATTACACGTCTTTAACATAAATTAGTTTTCTTTTTTCGAGTTTTTTTTTTTTTTTTTTTTTTCTGTTTTCTTAGGTAAAGCATGAGACATTATTTGACTATTTTTTATACAATTAGAGTAATTTAATTTGTCTTTCGAAATTTTGTCTTTTTGGTTTATTTTAACACATTTATAACACACATTTTGGTTTATTTTAACACATTTATAACACACATATATAACACTATATAGCATTATCAAACAATTATATAATAAAGAAAACTTTATTATATTCAGATTAAATAATAAATTATATAAGTAATGAGTATAAATTTTATCCCACTAATAAAACTTACTTAGTTTTAAACTTTGGGATAGTAATTTAATAACATGTATCTTATTCGTATAAATATTTAGTCATATAAAAGCCAAATAATACTTTAGGAAATGTTTTAATAAAATTATTATTAAAAAGAAAATTACAAAATGATGTTTAATTTCACGGGATGAGATTATATGGTGGGAGGGATTTGGATCAATATTAATACGGGATGGTATACTACGGATAAAATCCTAGAATTAATAATCAAACTATAATTATACAATCTTAAACACTAAACAAAACAAATATAACTTAAAATTTTGATTTTTAGTTGTAAAATATCGTTATGCGGTATACTATATATCTATAGATTATCTTAAAAATTTTAATTTTTTTATTTAGTAAAAATATAGGCCCGCGGTGTACCGCGGGTTAACATCTAGTATTTTCTTATTTTCTCTCTGTTTAGAACGAGTTAAGTGATGAGCCACGTGGGGCTGCTCTTTTGTAAAAAACCCTAGTTTTGTTTCTCTCTCGAGAAGTCAGCCGCCGAGAAAAATTTCTGGTTCTGTGGCCGGATCGCGGTGGCTCTCCTAGCACCGGATCCGGTCACATCGTCTCTGCTTTAGTTTAGCTTTTTGTTCTCAGTTTGTTGCGGTTCTGATTGAAGAATAGAGAAGGCGAGATGGGTTTCTAGGTTGCGGTGGTTCGATTGCGATGGAGCTTTTGGCTTGAGGATGAGTTGGGTGGTGCTTTAGATTGGCGATTCCTCTCCTCGTCACGGCATGGACTTCAATTTTGTCTCTTCCCAAATCTGGTTTTCTCGAGAACGAAATCGACTTTGTGGAGGGATAGCGATGGTTATCAAGGTGGTGATTAGGAGAGGCATGGTTCTCGAATCTGGAATTGGTGGCGGAAGATCTCTGCTTCAGGAGTTGGTGGTGGTGTCTTTGGGTTGTGGCTTTCTGCAGCGGATGATATGTTGTGGCTTTGTCAGCTTTTGGCTGCCGGTGGTTGCAAGGTGACAGAGGCTTTTCGTTTCTGGTCCTTGTCGGGTTTACGCTTATCTCGCTTTTCTCTTTTCGGATGTTAATAGTTGTATGGTTGTGTTTGGCTTGTGGTAGTTGTTGTTGGTGGGTTTAGTTGGCTTTTGTCTTTGGACTAGTTGGGGTCTTGGTTTTGCTCTCTGTTATCTCATGAAAGCTCCGGGGATTGGTCGTGTTTGGCTAGGTTTTGGATAGCTTTCGTTTTATCCCTTCTTTGTTCGTTGAATCTTTTAAGTTTGTCTCTTTCCACCGCCTCTAGTTTAGAATAATAAGTAGGTTTTCTCTCGTGGTCTGTTCCTTGTCTGTTCTTGTAAGACTAACCTTTTGTGGGGATGCAAAGTTCTAGATTTAGACTTGTTCGGTAGAAGACTAGGTGGTTAAGATTAAGATTCGCGATTGTGGCTTTCTTTTCTTGGGATATTCGTTTTTAGTTGGGTTATTTCTTCGCGGTTTCCTCTATCCTTGGTTCTACTCCGTTTGCGGTTTTAGTTCTTCTAGTCTGCGCCTTTTGAGCTCTTAGTTCCGCGTCTATTGTTCTCCTCCGACTTTCCCGATGATTTCGAGAGCTTAACTTTTTGACTTTAGTCCTATCTTATGTTTCCCGTGTATCGGGCTTTAGCTTCCGGGGATATCTTTGTTTTCCGCCGGCTTTTGTATTTCAAAACCGTATTCCAAAAACGCATTCCACCCTTGTATACGTCCTTTGTATTATATAATGAAATCTTTCAGTGAAAAAAAAAAGAAAAAAGTAATGAGCCACGTGCACCTAATTCTAAACCCTCTAACGAATAAAAAATTAAAATTTAATTTCTCAAAAAGTCAAAACAACTAAATAAAAAACATTTTCTCTTATCAAAAAATTTAGAACCATTAGATTTGCTAGATGTGTTCAGAGACCGTTGGATTCCATTTCTGTGTCAAAAGACTCAAAACAACCCAAAACTCTTTCATCTTCATCAAATTCTCTCTTTCATCTACAATCACTCATCAATGGCGATTTCTCAAGCTCAGCCTCTGCTTCTTCTCCTCTTATCACTCTTCTTCTTACCTGCTTTACACGCAACTTCTTTCTCCTACTGCGGTTTGTTCCCAAAACTCTCCTTTCTTTGTCTTCTATCAGATTAGGGGTTTCTTTTTGGGTCGTTGGTAGGATAAATCCAGTCTTGTCTATGTTTAAAACACTTCACTTTCCTTAAAGTTTGAATCTTTATAGGGGCAATGCTTCGATTTAACACTAATTGCTGCTGCTTTCAATTTTGAGGGTAACCTTAGTCTGATCTATTCAAGAAAACCTTTTTGGTTTGTCAAGAAAACTATCTTGAAGCAAGTAATGAGTAAGGGATCTTACTGTTGAAAAGATTGTCTTGCAACATGTGACTAAATTTGCCTTTTTCTCAGACAAAAATTCAGTAGATGCTAAATACAGTTTGTTCTCTTCTTTCTTGGTTATGTTATTACAGCTTTAGCAATACCTTTCAGAAGAGAGAAACTTCAGTTAATAGCGTTGTTCTCTCTGTTTGAACTGCATTAAGTTTTTCTTTTGCAGGAGAATTTCGATTTACCATGTTTGTTTATCAATGACACAGATTCTTTGTCTTTTGTTTTGCTTGTCATGAACTGGATTTTCCCTTGGTATTATTGTTAAGTCTGAATCTTATTCATAAACTGTTGCTGACACTTTTGTAGATAAGAGGCTCGATCCCGTTAAGGTCACGGGTGTGAAGATCTCTCCTGACCCTGTTGTGAGTGGTGAAGCTGCAACATTTAAGATTTTGGGTTCTACTGGTGAATCTCCCTTTGATGATCTTCCTGCTTCCTTGTTTTCTGCACTATTAGATATATAGAACATTCTTTTCTTCCGACATTTCTTGAAAAAATCTTGTGTGCGGTGTGTGAACAGGCGAAGACATCTCTGGAGGAAAAGTAGTGATCAGGGTTTCATACTTTGGGATTCCTGTTCATACCGAAACTCATGACCTCTGCAAGGAGACGGCCTGCCCGGTTGCACCAGGCAGCTTTGTGCTTTCTCATTCCCAAACACTCCCCTCAATTACACCACCTGTAAGATTTCTTAACACTCTTTGCTTAGTTATTATCCAGAAATCTATATGCGAAAATTATGTGTGAACCTGTATACTGTATAGAACATGCTGGTAATGTTCATGAACAATGGTTTGAGACTCATTTTTCATTTGGTAATCTTCAAATTCATTATCCTATTAGAATGGCTTCTCTGATCTAACTATAAGTCTCTTTTAAACAGGGCACTTACACGCTTAAGATGACAATCAACGACAAGAATGGCGGAAGACTAACGTGCATCAGCTTCAAATTCAAGATCACAATAGGTTCCGCGGTCTTTGCTAGTTAAGTTTTATGGTGTAAATTGCGTCTTTGTGAATCTCTCTCTCTCTCTCTCTCGTTTACTTTTGTGGTGTCCAAATAAAGAATGCTCTTTTGAGACTTGAGTTAATCTATATGAAACAGAGTCACAGACCAATCTCTCTAACGTTTCCACTGCGCAAGTTAGCGGCCACCAAGATACTAATCAAGTTAGACCGGAAAAGCTTTTCTTTTTTAAAGATAATCTCTTCCTTCAAAACCCTATTCGAACCCAACAAGGAAAAAGGGTTTGTTTTTTTTTTTTTTTTTTTTTTTTTGCCCTTTTGTGACAATTCCCCTAAACAAAAACCCTACCGAGAGCAAAACCATATAAACAAACAACCTAAATTTGACCGAGTAGGACACCAAAAACAAAAGAACTCAAAATTGAACCCCCCAAATTTGTGACGCGGAGAAGAAGTTACCGATCGTAAGTCTTTGTATATCAGTATATCGCTTTAGGGTTTTAATTGAACCTTAAAAGCTTTGACCCTTAAGGTTGTATACACTGTCTTGAACGCTCTCTTTTTTATTTTTTGTCATGTTTCAGGAACCATTCTGTCTCTATGGATTGTGTGGCTTCAGTGGATTGTCTTCCAGATGATCTTCTTGTCCAAATCTTATCCTTACTTCCTACGAAAGAAGCTGTTTCAACCTCTCTTCTCTCCAAGAGATGGAGGACTCTGTTTTCTCTCAGTCATAATCTTGACTTTGACGATCCCATCTCCTGGCGGCGCCCTAAAGATATCAGAAAGAGTTTCAATGATTTTGTGGACAGTTCATTCGCTTTCCAAAATGGTAAATATATAAAGAAGTTCTCACTTAAACATACTGAAAGAAATACTGTAGTAGAACATGACGTTGACCGCTGGATATGTAAGGCCCTGGAACACGGTGTCTCTAAGCTTCATCTACGCATAGAAAATGAATTTTCGTGGGGTTATGGATTGCCATCCCAAGTCTTCACCAGCACAACACTGGTTAAGCTGTCATTGGGAACAGAACAATACATTGATAGCTTTTCTGCGAATACATCTCTCCCAGCACTAAAGGTTCTCCTCCTTGATTCAATCTGGTTTACGGATAATCAATTGTTAAATGTATTTCTCACTGCTTGCCCTGCACTTGAGGACTTAACCATACATCACGAGAAATATGAAGTACAATCATACGTCATATCTAGCAAAACCATCAAGAAACTCTCTGTTACCATTAAATTTAATAATTATCTTGATTCTCCCGTCATTATATCAATTGACACACCTAGTGTTGTCGACCTCTACTACTCTGATTATCGTCGGCATAAATCTCCACGTTGTCAATTGGATTCACTTGCCAAAGCTACATTGGACCTTCATTTCTTAGAAAAAGACAAGCGCATAAGAAATTTAACAGGGATGTGGCGGATCTCATCAGTGGGATACGCAATGTCAAGACCCTTCACTTGACTTCTTCTGCTGTCGAGGTTAGTACTTGTGTGTATGGTCTCATCCTCTTTTTTGGTTAGAAACAGGAAAACATTCATTGTGTGTTTCAGGTGATTTCTATATGCTGCAATGGTGGATTACCGGTGTTCAACAACCTCGTTGATTTAGTGTTTTCCGGTACAAAAAGAGGTTGGAAACAGCTTTTGCCACTTCTGCTAGAGCGTTCTCCGAACTTAAAAAATCTGGTTCTCTCGGTATGAAGCAAACCATGAAAAAATCTTACTTTATATATATATATATGACTGTGGTATGAAATTAAAGTAGTCTCTCCTCATGATGCTTCAGGGTCTACATAATTACACATTTGGACGAAGACATCGGTTTGTAGGGATTCAAATACCCTTGAATATCCAAATAAAGATGCTTAGTATCAAGCAATATCATGGAAGTGCAACCGTGCTGAAACACATTAGCCATTTCTTACTGAATATGGAATATCTTGAAGTGGTGAAAGTTTACGTTGCAGCTGAAATGGATGACACCAAAAAGATGCAACTCACAGAGGCTCTGTTGAAGTTTCCAACAGCTTCATCCAAGCTCGAGATACAGGTCATTTAAGTTTTTTTTTTTTATGTTTTAGTGATTTATGATTTAATTACTATGGTGCGAATCATAAACACGAGCAAAAAAGAACTTATTATTTACCAGGTTAATGGGTTTCTGAGCTATATTGAACAACTTTGCTTCCTTTTATGAGTGTCTTTCTGTTAAAGAATAATCACCAGAAGAAAAAAAAAGGGACAACTCTGATGTTCTTGCTAGACAGTGCCGGCCCGATCAATTTGGGTGCCCTATGCAAAATTAAAGTCTATTAATTTTATTTTTTTTAAATTAGATTTTTACCCTTAAAAAAATGTTGTAGTTGTCTATAAAAACCCACAATATTTTTAAAAGGCCCTACAAAAATTATTGTATATAAGAAAACTTAACAAATTTTTAGGTAAAAAGACCCTCAAAATTTTGAGACCCTAATCGGTGGCTTCACTGGCTTGCCCTCTCCGCCGGGCCTGTTGCTAGACGTCAATATATATAAAAACTAGATGTGTAGATGTATGTCGATATGATGTGCGAGATATACAAATGTAAGATTTAATGTTTGAAAAAAAAAAGATTTAATGTTGGATTGGTTGGAGAAGAAACAAGAAGAAATGTGCCCGGGTGTGTGAAATGGAGCAACAGCTGCATGACTTGGAGCAGAGACTTACAAACTCAGCTGAATAAAGGAGAAGGCAGATATTTTGGAGGCCACATATCTTGATCTCTCTTTCAAAGTTTCAATGATGTTTTTTTTTATGCTTTCTGGTTCATTTAAGTACAAAACAAAAACCCACTCACCAATGTAGGATCAGGCTTAGGCTTAGACTTACGCTTAGACTTACGCTTAGTTTACAAAATCTTGTCATTTGGAGGAGGTCATGTGTGAGCCTATATAGATATCATCTAACGTAACTTTTTCTTGTGACTTCGTCCCTGTACATACTTTGCCATCACAAGAGTTTGGGTCGTAGGATGTTACACTCATTATCTAAGAAGTTATCTTTACTTGGCAAAGTTGCTCATACAAGATTAAGAATGAAACAGAACAAATGTAGCAAAATGTCATTTATACCTAAAACACAAGGAAGCAAATATGACATGAACAATAGATTCTTCATGAAATATTCAAAAAAAGATCCGACGATCACTTAAAACATCCAACAAGATCACGTTTTGGGATTCATGTCCATACCAAAACTCTTAAATTCTGCTATGAGACGTCCTGTCTGATTGCATCTTTGTGCTTTCAGCTTCTAAATTATGTGGGACTTAAAGTACTAGTGTGTGATTAACGAGTACTTATAAACAATATCGAGAGCAAAAAACCCTATCGAGAGCAAAAACGTATAAACAATAATCTTAACTCGACAGAGCTGGAGACCCAAAATAAAATAAAAAACTAAAAATCGAACCTTGATATGGGACGTGTGGAAGAAGTTTCTGATCATGTAAGTCCCTTTCGGGTTTTGGGGTTTTAAATTTCATTGGACATGTGGTTAAAACTTTAAAGTAAACAATGAAATACATATCTTACACATGCTACATAAAAAACCCTAGCCATAGCTTCACTATCATCCACTATATAAACAACCTAAAAGCCTACCGGGCAGCAAATTGATCAATAACAAAGACTCAAAATCGAAGCTTCTTGATATGGAACAGTTGAATCCGTCTTCTTCAATGGATTGTCTTCCTGATGACCTTCTTGTCCAAATCTTATCCTTCCTTACCACAAAACAAGCTGCTTCAACCTCTCTTCTCTCCAAGAGGTGGAGGACTCTATTTGCTTTCAGTCCTAATCTAGACTTGGACGATCCCATCTTTTTGCACCATGAAAAGGATTCATGGAAGAAAAGGGGTGCTATTCAAAAGAAATTTCGGGATTTCGCTTATAGAACATTGGGTTTGCAATGCGGTAACCATATAAAGAAGTTGTCACTAAAATATAAACGAATATTTGGTGTTGGTGGCGTGGTTGTTTTTAAACACTGGATATGTTATGCCTTGAAACATGGTGTCTCTGAGCTTCATCTATGCATAGATACATACACACATTTCATATCCAGAATCTGTACCAGCACCACACTGGTTAGGTTGTCATTGGGATCCAGCTTTTGCATCCCAAATGTTCCTTCGGATGCATCTCTCCCTGCACTAAAGGTTCTCTTCCTTGATTCAATCTGGTTTAAGGATGATCAATTTTCTAATGTGTTTCTAGCTGCTTGCCATGCACTTGAGGATTTAGCCATACATCACAAGTATAATACGTATTATTCAGAACCTTTATACGTCATACGCAGCAAAACCATTACGAGACTCTCTGTTACCATTAACTGTAGATATTATGTTGATCGTTTTCTCACTATGTCATTTGACACACCGAATGTTGTCGACTTCTACTACTCTGATTATCTTCGGCGTGAATCTCCACAATGTAACTTGGATTCACTTGTCAAAGCTACATTGGACCTTCATTTCTTAAGAGATGACGCGGATGTGACAAATCTCATCAGTGGGATACGCAATGTCAAGACCCTTCACTTGACTTCATCTGCAGTCGAGGTTAGTACTTGTGTGTATGGTCTCATCATCTTTTTTTTTTTTGGTCAGAAACATAAAAACATTCATTTTGTGCGTTTCAGGTGCTTTCGATATGCTGCAAAGGTCGACTACCAGTGTTCAACAAACTTGTTGATTTAGTTTTTTCGAGTAAAAAAGAAGGTTGGAAAGTGCTTCTGCCTCTTCTGCTAGAGCGTTCTCCAAACCTTAAAACTATGGTTCTCTCGGTATGAAGCAAACCATGAACAAATCATATATTATATATATGACTGTGACATGACATTAAAGTAGTCTCTCTTCTCGATGCTTCAAGGTCTGGATGGTTTCACATGTAGACGACATCGGTTTACTCGAATTCCTCCGAATAACCAAATAAAGATGTTGAGTATCATGAAGTGTCAAGGATATCCAAGCGAAATGAAACACATTAGATATTTCTTATTGAAAATGGAGTGTCTTAAAGTCGTCAAAGTCTACGTTGCAGCTGAAATGGATGACCTCAAAAAGATGCAACTCAGAGAGGATCTGCTGAAGTTTCCTGCAGCTTCATCCAAGCTTAATATACAAGTCAAGTGATCATATAGTAAGTTTGTTTTTTGTTTAGGGATTTATGATTTACCATGGTGTGTGATCATAAAAACGAGAAAAAACAACTTATATATGAGTCACCATGTTTAGGGGTTTATGAGCTATATTGCTCCATAAGCTCTTGCTTCTTGGACACTTTGGTTCCTTTAATGAGTACTGAAATTGGCCCACAGAGAAAGAGCTAGTCAGTTAAAGTTGGTCTCAATCTCTCTTCAAGTTTTTGTAGACCAAAGGATAGGCCTCGCAAGGCTCTTAGGGCCTCAGTGACCTTCGTGTAATTTTTTTTCTTCTGAAATCACAATATAATTTGGGTCCTAAGAAACAACGTTACGCTCACTATCATTATCAAAGTTGTTCATATCTCAACTAAAAATTACCCAAAGTACCAAATACAACAGGTACAAGATCGGGATTGAAACTGAAAAAAATGTAGCAAACCCACAAAGTGTCATTATACCTAAAAAACAAGACATCAACGACAGTTTTTGTAGATGCTAACAGGATCCAAAGGATCACATCAAATATGAGACAGACCAAAAAAAAAACAAAATCAACATTTTTCACAATCATAAACCGTAATCAAAATAAAAGAAAGTCATAATGGGTAAGAAGTGAATTATTCAAAGAAGATCCCGACTTGAGAGTTAGGACCCAACAAGATCCGATTTGTAACCAGAAGCAACCAAGGTGAACCGGAGAGAAGTTGGCTTCCCACAATGAACCGAACCAGATATAGCATTTATATATCATCTCATCTTTTCTTGAACCCTCAACACAAATATAATTTTCTGACAATTTCCCTGAAGAAAAACCCTACCGAGGGCAAAACCATATAAACAATCTAAAGTTGCCGATCCTGTAAGTTTAGTATTTTTGGTTTTAATTTGATGAATGATTTTTCTATCTTCTCGAAAGAAAGCTTAAAGTTCATCAACACTTAGGGTTTTTGTATCTATCTACGGAGAGAAAGCTTGAAAGTTGAAACTTCAATTAGGGTTTAAATTGAACCTCTAAAAGCTTTCACCTTTAGCTTGTATAGTCTGTCTCTATGGATTGCGTGGCTTCGATGGATTGTCTTCCAGATGATCTCCTTGTCCATATCTTATCCTTCCTTCCCACGAAACAAGCTGTTTCAACCTCTCTTCTCTCAAAGAGGTGGAGGACTCTGTTTACTCTCAGTGATAATCTTGACTTTGACGATCCCATCTCCGAGCGCCCCGAAGATATCCGAAAGAGTTTCAATGATTTTGTAGACAGTTCATTGGCTTTCCAAGGCGGTAAACATATAAAGAAGTTCTCACTTAAACATACTGAAATATATGAAGAAGAAGAACATAACGTTGACCGATGGATATGTAAGGCCCTGGAACACGGTGTCTCTGAGCTCCATCTACATCTACACGTAAAGTCTAAATTGTGGTGGGAGTTTTCTATACCATCCAAAGTCTTCACCAGCACAACACTAGTTAAGCTGTCACTGGGAACAGGACTAGACTGCCCAAGACTTCCTCCGGATACATCTCTCCCAGCACTAAAGGTTCTCCTCCTTGATTCAATCTTCTGGTTTAGGCATGATCAATTATCTAATGTGCTTCTCGCTGCATGCCCTGCACTTGAGGACTTAACCATACATTACGAGTATTATCCAGGACATTCATACGTCATATCCAGCAAAAGCATTAAGAAACTCTCAGTTACCATTAATAGTAGTTATTATGTTGATCAATCTAGCATTCTTACACTTGACACACCTAATGTTGCCGACCTCTACTACTCTGATTATCCTCGGCGTAAATCTCCACGTTGTCAATTGGATTCAGTTGCAAAAGCTACATTGAACCTTCATTTCTTAAAAGATTATCGCCAGGTGAAAAGTGACGCGGATGTGACCGATCTCATCAGTGGGATACGTAACGTCAAGACCCTTCACTTGACTATTCCGACTGTCAAAGTGAGTTTCAGTGTATGGTCTCTCATCATCTTATTGGTTAGAAACATGAAAACATTCATTGTGTGTGTTTCAGGTGATTTTGGTATGCTGCAAAGATGAATTACCCGTGTTCAACAACCTCGTTGATTTAGTGTTTTCGAGTAAAAGACAAGGTTGGAAAGTGCTTCTGCCTCTTCTGCTAGAGCGTTCTCCAAACCTAAAAAATCTTATTCTCTCGGTATGAAGCAAACCATGAACAAATCTTACTTTATATATATGACTGTGGCATGACATTAAAGTAGTCTCTCATCTCCATGCTTCAGGGTCTGGATAGTTTCACATCTATAGGGCATCAGTTTGTGGGGATTCCAATTCCCTTGAATAACCAAATAAAGATTCTGCGTATCATGCAGTATCAAGGAAGTGAAACAGAGCTGAAACACATAAGCCATTTCTTACTGAATATGGAGTGTCTTGAAGTTGTGGAAGTTAACGTTGCACCTACACTGTATGACCCCAAAAAAGTGCGGCTCACAGAGGATCTGTTGAAGCTTCCCACAGCTTCATCTTCATCCAAGCTCAAGATACAAGTCCTGTGATTATCATCATCCAAGCTTATTAGTTACCATGTTTGTGTTTGGTTAGTTGTGATTCCTTTACCCTCATGATACATATATCTTATGCTGTGAATGAGAAATCTACTCCTCTCTTAGGAGTGATTTTGAGATCTCACTTAGATTCCATAATAAAATATTTAGAGCTTCTAACAAAAGAAATGGCTTAATATTTCATACACAGCAAGCAATCAGAATCTCTAATGTACGACTCAAGTCACTTCTATCAGTGAGACACTTCAAGCAACCTCGTAGCTTCGTGAACTAATCCCAAAACACTTTCTACTTGTTCTTCAATCTTGCCTGATATGCTATTGTTCTGATTCTCCAGTGTCTTCAACGCATTCTCGACTCTTTCGATCATATTCTTGTGCACATCTTTCGCTCTAAACTCCTCTGCATCGAGCTCTTCTCTTATGATCATCGCCTCTTCTTTTCTCAGATCTGATTCAAAGAAAAGCTGATGAATCTCGAGTATCATGTTTTGTATTTCAGTCATCCCTTGTTCTTCCATCTCCTGAATAGTTTGCTTCTCTTGAATTGTGTTCTCCAATTCCATTTCTAATTCAGTTCTCGTCTTTGAGCTCTTCTCTATCTCTGTTTCCATGGTTTTGATCTCCTTCTCTAGTTTCAAAGACTTCTTAGTCATGTCGTCAACTTCTTTTCTAACCGAAGCCAGCTTCTCCCGAGAAAGCTTCATCTCGAATTGGAGCTTTGTTTGTTCTTCCTGGGATTTCAGCAAATCTGTGGCTTTGCCTGTACGCAGAGCGTTACGCTGAGGAGTGTTGATCTTCTCAATGTTATCTATCGTGCAAAGAACACTCTCCTCCTCATACCTCTTGTTCTCTTCATCCACTTTTATTTTCAGCATTACAATGTTACTCTTCAACTCTGCCTCGGATTGTTGGATCTTACCCATAGCAGCATCAATTTCTCTTTTGTGAGAACGGAGAACATCGAGTTCTTCATGTTTCTGGTTTAGATGACCGGAAAATGCGTTTACATGCGCCCTTGCCCGTTCTTCTCGCTGTTGAAAGTAAACTGCTGATGATGCAAAGTTTGATAGTGAGAATCTGAGAGCGGACAACTTTTTCTCTGCAACTTCCTTTCTTGCATTAGTTTGATCAGAGACAGTTTTTATTGATCCTAACTCATACTGGTGCTCCTTAACTTTGTCTTCGGCCTCTTTGCTTTCCTTTGACAGCTTGATGATGTCCAAAATATTATCTTCAAGCGAAGAGAACACTCCAATAGTTTTAGCAGAGACTGAAAGCTTTTCCTGAGCCAATTCAAGTTTCAGCTTTGCTGAGTTTAAATCTTCTGTGGACTTTTCAGAAGAAATGTTACACAGTTGCCTGCATAGCTCCATTTCAGTATCAGAATCAGCTTCAATAGGCTTCTTTTGGTCAGGAGAAGAGAGAAGTCTTTTCAATTCATCCTTTTCCTTCATCGCATTTTCGTACAGACTCATTAGCTTCTCGTTCTCATCGTGCATCTCGCTTAGCTGATTCTCCAGGTTTCCTATCATTTTCTTCTGTTCCTCAACTGCACTTTTCTCAACCTCCAAAGCAATTTCAGCACTGTTCTGAGCTTCAGCATTATTACTTGACGAATCTGTCTCGATCTTCCCCGAAGCTCTGGAGCTATTTTCTGCCGCTACTTGTTCATACAGCTCTATAAGCTTGTTGTTGTCCTCAATCAAGACCTTTATTTTCTGGCGCAAATCATCATTTTCTTTCGACAACTTGATTGCTGTCTCGTGAGCTTCAGCTTCTCTTTGACTAACACATGCAATGGCTTGAACCATTTTTTTAACCTCCATCTGATCATCATCACCAACCATGCCTGAGGATCTTATTCTTCCCTCAAGTTCCTTAGACAAATTGTCGACAAGCCTGCAAGAGAAATCCAAAGAGATGAGCTGAGGCTTAATAATTGACCCTGAAACTGAAATGTATATTGTGTTCAGTGAATTACTTTTGCAATCTCTCTTTCTCGTCAAGTGAAAAACTTAAGGACTTCTGAAGAGATTCCATTTCTGCCCGGTTTTGAATAGCCTTCATTTTACAAAACGAATCAAGAAAGTTAGACAAATTGCATAAACCTTGACTGAATAGTCGGACTCAAGGCAAGACTAACCTGCATCCGGAGGAATTCATTCTCATCTTGGATCGACGAAAGTTTCTTTGATTCCTGATTCTGGATAAAGTAAAACAAGAACAAGTGTCAAAACGTAGGAAAACAACTTATTTGCGTGCCAGAAATTAACAGACTTTGTGAGGAACCATCAGCAGAGATGAAAGAGAAACAAGCCCTTACCTGGTTTGAGCAGAACATATTGCTGATGTTACCATCTTCTTTAACCATGGAGGAATCTGATTCGTGCATGAGTTTCCAGTCAAGAGCTTCTAGCAACTGTACATAGATTCAAGTTACATGCTAATTAAAATCGTAAACAAACTTCTGAGGTCTTGAAATGACAGAATATATTACTCACCTTGGCTTGTAATGCTTGAATCTGTTGATTTAAGATATCCCGTTCTCCTTCCTCACCTTGTGATTTCAATCTGTGTAGCAAGTGAAAAATTAACATAATAAAAATTTGTTTCTAGCTGATGGAACATAAGTAGGTGAGTTTTAAAGAGTCTTCTTGCCTTCGGATCTCTTCTTTCAATCGCAAATTCTCCGTGGCAAATTTGGTAACTTCCTGATTTCTGTCAACTTGAGCACGTAGCACCTCAATCTCCTTCATAAGGTCACCCTTTTCCTTTTGCAAATGTCCTTCAACAGAGATCTTTCCTGAAGCTACACCTTGTAAACTCTTGATTGCTGAATCTCGGAGCTTTAACATCATTTTCAGCCCTCGTATTTCATCCTCTCTTTTCTTTTCCTGTGAAGATGACAAAGCAAAAAGTTTATGAACTCATGATAAAAGATTTTCGACAGTATGTGAATCTCAAGTGAGGGATCTATTTCTAACGTACCAATTTCATTGAGGCCTCATTTTCAGCAGCCAAAGCCTGTAAAGCAGCATCCTTTTCCCTCTCTCTCCTGAAAGCACCAACAAGTGCAACTTCGTAGTCTTTAACCTACAAAAGCCATACAAGTGGAAATGATTAAAAACAAACCAAATGTTGAACAATAAAGATCAGATTCCTAAGACAAAGCAATAGCTTAGCCTATAGAAACTCCCTATCAGGGAAAATCCAATTTCAAACCTTAGACATCCTTTTGTGAGTTGTCAGAGGAGTGAATGATCCATTGAACCCATCCCACTTGAGAGACATTGGAGAGGCAGGGCAACCCATTGAGATATTGTCCATGTCCTGATTGTCTACTCCACCGTTTACCATTCCTCTTAAGCGGGTTACTTCTTTCTGTAAAATACGATTTCAGACACTTAATAACAAGTTCATAGGAGACTAAAAGCAACAGTCTTTGCCGAAAAAACTACCTTAAGTTGTTGAATTTGAAGCCGCATAGCAATAACATCTCCAGATGCATCTTCGTTGACAATTGCCTGTTGGGTTGAATATAATTAATACAACTAAACTTTGCAACTATATCAGATCCATGACTTAGCAAACAGTGGCAAGGAATAATTTCATTACATTGTTCTTAATAAGCTTGGCACGCTGGGCAAACTTCAAGGTACTTAGGGTCTCCAGTGAGCAACTGAATATACAAAAACAGAAACATGAGATACAGTCCAATGAATATTTCAGGCAGAAAGGTCATGGACTGATAAACAAACACAGAGTATCAGTTTACCTGCTAGATGGGCTAATATTAGCAATTATTATTGTCTTTGAATTTCCTCCAAGAGAATCCTGTAGATATATAAGAGGGACGGTTAACGATCACGGCAATTAGGGTGCTAGAACCATAATACAGGAATTCCTGCTATGCCACATGCTTGACATCATTTAAAAGATTTTTTACCTGAAGCAGAAATGTGAGCTTCGAGTCTCGATAAGGAACATGAACTGATTTTCCATTGGAAACGCTTACGAGATTCATGATCACAAGCCTGCAAAGTCAGTGTAGCCACAAATCATTAAAATGGTATAACAAAGACCAAACTAGAATATTTGAAGTTTCTGCAAGATGTATTCTTACCCCAATGTAGAAAGAGACTTGTTGATGTTGGTTGCTTCTTTGAGGCGTTCACCTTCAGCTCCTGAACTCTTTTGCCTATATTCCAGATGTTAGCAGAATATCTTGAACAGAGAAAGCGCAGTATGTTTGAAATTTATAGCTGATGTTACCTTTCAGAGCCAGCTAAATCAACAAGATTAAGCCGTGCAAAACGATGATGAGTTACGCCTTGAGATACCCACTAATAGAAAACACAGGTCAGGATAACTTTTACTTTGAGAAATTGAAAGATATAAACATCATAACAGTTTCAGAAATAAAGCCTGAGAACTCAAGTAACAAGTTGAATGCAATTAATTACCTTGCTTTCGATGATACATGTAAAGACACTGTGGGATCGACTACTTGCACGATTCATATTAGTAGCAGCTACTTTCCTGTTTGCAGCACCCTACACATAAAAGATGTAGAAGTTGCATAAGAAAGCTATTATGAAATTAAATGCATGACATGAGCAAATTGTCAACTACTTCTTGCATTATCTTTCTGACTATGGAACGAAAGAGCATCTAGCATGCAAAGTAGTAAATCAATGCAAAAGAAAAGATGGAAGTTCAAGAAAATAGTGTAAAGCTTCTCCATGGAAACTGACTAATTTGACTAAGCAAATTCACAGTATATTTTCCTTAAAACTTGCTTGAAACTTAAACGTAGACATAACAGGTTATTTTGAGAAATTTAATCTTTCGTAGGATCAAACTTTTATACTTAAGAAGAATAGTACGGAAGCAGGTCAGAATCAGAAAAACCTAGAAGAGCAGACCAAGTGCACCTAATATAAAATAGCTAAGAGAAGAAAAATGAATTACCTGCATCAATTGTTGGATCACGTCTCTGGCACTTGAAACTTCAATCTCCTTTAAATTCTCAACATGAATACCTTTCTTGTGGTCCTCTCTTAGCTACATAAAATATAGCAGAGAATATTTGGTTAATCCCACATAAAATACAACATTCAGATAACAGGTTTCGATGATACATTTTGTATGTATACCTGTAAATTATAAGATGATGGATCTAATAAATCAAGGATTTGCTCATTGTATATCTCCAGAAATGAGCATCTACAAGTGAAATGTAGCTTTTCCTCTTTGCGGACCTCTTTTTCCTGGTACAGAAAAGACAGATAAATTAGAACACACCATTTCACAGCTAAAACATATGCATACAGAAAGATCTAAGGCACCAAACCTTTTGGATCCTTGAGAACAAATACTCAAAAACTCTAGGTGTCATCCCGCAGTTGACACTATGTCTACGTGTTCCTCCCTCGATATCTCCAAGCATAGTGTGAGTTTTCCCACTTCCAGTCTGCAAATTAAGACTATCATCAGACTGGAAACACTAGAAGTAAATACAGATAAAACTCACAGTCAGAGAACAAATAAACCTCACCTGGCCATAAGCAAACATACAGCTATTGTAACCAGCCACGACATTCTCCACCATAGGCACTCCAGCCACTTTAAACATCTGCTCCTGTAAGAACAAATAAAAGCAAACAGATTCTCAGAAACAGTCTTAAGCTTCAAAGAGAATGCATAAAGAACCGCTGAAACAAACGGCAATACCTGGGTAACATTCTCATCAGCAACGAGATCAAATGTGAATCGAGACTCTGGATTCCCAATCCAAGTGATTGCCTGACCATTGTCTTGCCTCACACATTTGTTGTTGCCTTGTACAGAAATCTCTGAAGTACTAAGTGGACGAGTTCTTATAATAACCTATTTTCAACATTCCAAGAAACGATAGAACAAACTTAGTTTTCTTTTTCCAGAAAAGTCAACAGAACTCCGAGTTTTGAAGATCGTAAAACCCTAAAATATTCTCAAAATCAATTCATCAATGTGAAGTCCTTAATTATATGTTAAACAACAAAATCCGAAAATTATTTTGACATTAAGATTCTTCAAGAGCTACCAATTTAACAAAGAACACAGTGACTACTACACAGAAGCTAGGCGAAATCAAATCAACACGAATCATCATCAATCAATCTCCAAAGGATATAGAAGATCTCACCTGAACATTGTGATCTTTCCAGAAAGCGGGATCTTCATTGAACTCAAAGCTTTGAGACCTCGATATCTGAGCAGATCCAGCGCAAATCGCACCATCTTCATCCAATTCAGGCATGCTTCGAACCGCGGAAGAGAAAACCGTTGACTGATGAGTGTGATTCTCTCTCGAGCCGGTGCTAGCTTCCGGCGTGCAAGGCACAGAGCGGAGAGATTCCGACGGAGCGGGACGGTCGTTGAATCCGAACCGGCGCTTGATGGCACTAGCAGTCTCGGAGATAAACGGCATATTCGATTTGGTTGGGTGATGAGAGAAGATGAGAATTCACTGAGTCAGTGAGAGAGAGAGAAATTTGAAATTTGGGTCTGAAGGGGGAAGAGAGAGAGAGAGACAAAAGGAAACGTTGTGAAGAAGACGAGATATGATCGGAGGGTGAAGGGAGCGTGTTAATGAACGGCTGAGATTTATTTGCGTTTTTTGAAATTAATCGGAACGTTACTTTTTGATTTCTCAAACGTTGCGCTTCTTCTATTTTTTTAATTCATTAAATAGGATTACATCGGTTATGATTGAACCAAACCGGGGACACTTGAACCGGATATTATGTATTAATTCAAAGAAAAGAGTACTGATGTTAATATGGGTTTAATAGCCCCTTTATCTAGATGGGTTTATTGTTAAAAAATTGTCTATATAGACGTGGAAAAATGTTAAATGAGGTTAAATGGAGGAGCCTAATTATCTCAAATGAATATCTATTTAAATCCGTTTATTTTTATTTTTCTTAATTTATTTTTGCCAAACCGGTGTCGTTTATGTGTAGGATTTCACAATCAAAGCTCGAAATCAGATTTGTCTATCTTCTTCACATGTGACACAATCTCAAGCTATGGTCCTCTTGAATCTTCGAGCCTCGACGAATTTCAGTGGTGGGTTTTTGTCTTTTCGAGTCTCTCCTCCTCTGGAATGTTCTAGTTTCGATTCTCACTGAAAGCTGTTTTTTTTTTTTTTTTTCCTTTTCTCTTTCACAGATTCCCAAGTCTCTAACTTGAAGGAAATAGAAGAAATCTTTTCTCATCGGAGTTTGAGTTTACATCTCAATGATTTTACTAGTTGTTTTACTAGTTTGGGGACATACCCTTGATACTGGTGCTTGGGGACATACCCTTGATTATAAGGAACAAACGGTTTGGGTTAGCTCTCATGTTGCTGCTGTTGAGGGTAGACTTGGTCTTAGGGATTGGCTACATTGGTGATTCTATAAGACAAATGGGTATTATTTGGCTTATAGTTGTTGTAACCTTTGTTGTAGCCCTCTTAATTCTGAAGATAGATGATCTCCTCCAACTCACTACTCTCTCCATCTTGAATCTGGAACTGCTCATCTACATAGAAAATTGAACTTTCTTCTGCTGAACTAGAAGAAGCTTATCTAGTTTCTTCATTCATAGCCTCCATTTCCTTCCAATATTTTTCATTATAGTGAATTGAATGCAAAAAATCAGATCTATTGTTTGCTACTAAATTTAATGTCTAATGTGCAGGAGATATGCAAATTCAGATAAGAATTAAGAATAAAGTTCAGATTCAGATAAAAAAATTATTATCAACTAAATTAATGTATCAACACATAGTCACATATGTATCAAATTAATGTTTCAAATTCAGATAAAAAATATTATCAACTAAATTAATGTATCAACACATAGTCACACATGAATATATATTATATAGCTCAACACAGATTCACATATGTAAAATGAATTAATGTATTGTATTAATTCATGATTCATGATTCTCCAAGATTTGATAGCCATTAAAGGGGTGTTATTGGTTTGTGGTTTAAATGGAGTTTTAATGACTTTAATTGTTACTAGATTTTAACCCGCGGTACACCGCGGGATGATTTAATTTTAAAGTTTACATATTTTAAAAGTTTGTGGTTTAATTGTAAATTGTATCTCCTTATAACATATTTATTTATATTATAGTTTACAATTGTTATTAAGTAACGGTATACCACGAGTCCATGAGACTATCTTATTATATAAAGTATGGTTTTCAAAGTTAATAACTCATAGGATCATGACACGTGGCAAATCTATCGATCTTAGATTTTGACACGTGTAAGACAAAAATTTCTTTTTTAAAATAGAAAAATTAAAATATTTGTAAGTAATTATATATTTAAATAATTTTAAAAATATAAACGATAATTATAAGGATAATTGTAAATAATAAATATTTCTATAAAAAAATTTAAAAAATGTCCAAAGATAATAATAAGAAAGTTATACGCTTTTATATTTAAAATATATAGTTTAATTTAACAAGAAAAAAATCAGGCAAATTTATTAGCAAAGAAACATACGTTATTATATAACTAATATGATATATTTTTGTTTCTCAAAGTTAGTAATTAATAGTATCATGAACCGTTATCATTCAAAAATTTTATCATGTGTCATGTTTAATTTAAAATTTTATATTATTTATCTCAATTTCCTTTCCAATTAGAAATATGTGATGAATTAATTAAAATAATCCTCATATGATTTATTTGAGTTAATTTTTTCAATTAGAAATATGAGAGATCAAAAAAATTTTCCTTTTTGTAATATTTTTTACTTAACTATGTTTTTTGTTTGTCCTCAATTATGATTGTAGTATTGTAAGATTGTCCTGATTTAAATTACAAATTTACATTATTTATATCAATTTATTTTTTAATTAGAAATATGTGAAGACTTTAAGTAAAGTTTTATATTGTTTATTTGAAATTCTTGAATATAAGAACCATATATGCTTCTTCTTTGTTTTTGATATTTTGAATTTAATGATACTACTTCAAAATTGTTTATTTAAATTTCTATGTTTAAATTATATAAGATTCATATATCATCGTGCTTATAATTTTTTGAATTTTTCAATTTTTATTGATTGATCATAAAGTCGTTGAAATCAAGTATATAGGAATCGATCTCGCAACATTAGCTTGGAAGGCTAAGGGATTTAGTCGATTTATCATCTTTATATTTTTAACGTGTCTAATTCAAAACCACTTTGGTTTCATTCGCCAACTTTATGATGAATATTTATAATTTTAGTTCTTCATATAAGTATAATATGACTTATTGTTATGTGATATATTTTTCATTCGAAATAATTTTGAATTAATAATTTTAGTGGTTACAAAAACAATGCAACAGTAAAAAAGTAAATATTTTTTTACTTTTGAAAGAAAAATTTCACTTATAACGTTGTTAATTAATTTTTTTGTTAAATTTAATTTTAATTTTTAAAAAATTAAACCTGTCCGATGGACAGGTCCTTATCTAGTTATTAATAAACTGAGGATTTAACCCGTATTAAAGATATTGATTCAAGTTCGTCCGCCATATAAATCCTTTCCAAAATATAACCCGTTCCGTTATTTCTTAACTCGTCTCGTGATTTGTTTTTATTTTAAAATTTAATGATTATTTATTATATATAAAAATTTACAAATCATATCATCCTCTAAGACCACGGGACATTATACCACGGGACAATTTTTGATTTTATACAATCTTTTCTAAATGAGACTGATTTAATATGTCTAATATTTGTGGTATTAAAAAAATAAGGATTTAATCCGTATTGAAGCGGCGGATTAATGATATTTTAATCTTTTTATTATTGTGGATTCAAAAACCCGTCCCGCCAAACCCGTCCGGCCAAAAAATTCATTTATCTTATTAATGTTCTTATTTATGATATGATTCTGAATCATTGTCTAAATATTTTAATCGATGTAAAACGTTGAACACACATTTTCGTCAATTGAATAATATATGTCCATTTTAAAATTTCGAATCACAGTATATGCAGAAAAAAATTGATTTTTTTTTACTTTATGTATTATATGATGATTCAAAACAACTAAAAACAAATCAAACAAAGATGATAGGAGAATCATAATTATAAATCTTAATCAAATCTTCTAAATATCTTAATTATTAAATATGGAATATCCGGTGTATGAGTTGGGTTAAATAAAAACCCGAGCCAACAAATTTTTTGTGAAGGATTTTTTGAAACGGGTCGGATATCCAAATAATCCGGAAGCATTTTTACCCACCCGTCACCAAAGTTACTGCAAAAATACTAGTATAGATGTAGAATCTGCTGTTATTCAATCAAGAATTTTTAAAAATTTGTTAAAGTTTGGTGTTATTAATTTAAGATTTGTAAAAGATAATATAAAATCTTCATAAATCTGGAGTGATTAGATTCATACTTTTAAAGTCACTAAAATTTTTGTGTTATTCAATTACAACAAAAGAATCTATGATTGTTAATGAAATAAATTATTATGTTGTTGTTTTATGACTTTCTATACTTTTCTTCACAAAATAAGGTCATGAAAAGTATCATCAAAATAGAGAGATTGTTTGGAAAACTTTACAAGATTATGAAGTACTAATCAACAAGATTATTGAAAACTCTCTAACAATAGTTTAGAATTTTTTATTTGTTTACTTTCTATGATTTTACTTTCGGATTAAGAGTAACATTTTGAATCTATTTTATTTTTTTAAAATAGAGTATAACATTAACAAATTATATTACATGGTATACCATTTATAAAGTATCTATAACAAAGTCGAATAGAGTATATAAAACATTAAACAAGATATACATATATATATATATATATGTGAATGTTTATCGTGTTTAATGTTTTAAATTCCATGGTATGTCATTATTTCTAGTTGTGTTTATACTCTTGTACGAAAATTTATCATGAATTTTTTTACATCAAATGCGATACGCATTCATAGCATATAAAATAAATTCAGAAAAAAAAAAGTTTTAAAACTAATATTTGGAGAAGAAGCTTAATAAAAGAGTGGAGTTAATGATGATTGAAAAAAACTTTGTGTAATTGAACAAAATGTCGTTGAATTAACCTCATAAATGTGAGCAAAAGTGATCAATGTTTCACATATATCGTGATCAGTGCTGACCCGGTAATATTAGAGACTAATAAAAAAAAATTGGGGCCTTTAGAAAATATTAAAACTGCTAATTTTTTTATATCTGACTAATTATGGGGCCTTAAATTATTTTTTATACACAATAAAACAAATCGCTTTTTTTTTTTAATAAAAATGGGCCTATATCATTTTATTTCCATCTAAGGGACTAAAAAATGGGGCCTTAAAAAAAATTTATTAATCTTTTCCCCACAAAATGGGCTTCGGAAATTCGAGGCTTAATACCTTTGTTTTATAGGTATCTGTCTAGAGCCGGAACTATGTTTCATAGGTATCAATCAAAGGCCGGGATTGATTGTAATAGAGATGTAAATAGATAAATGATGAATGGTCATATAGCTAAACTAGCATGAATTAAGAATTTTAAACGGTTTCTTTTGAAACAAAACAAAAAAAAATTGTCTCTCTCTGAGGCGATCTCTCCAAGGCATCCCTACAGTCACACCCTCTCCGTTAAACTCTCATTCCCGGCCGGTGTCGGTCAGCTTTCCTTTCCACTTAGTTTTTTCAATCTTTATTCTTTTTGCACAGTTTTGGGCGAATAAATGATACTCAAAACTATTTTTTGATGCAAATCTTCCATTGTTTCATTGCTTTTTTCTCTCCATCCGTGAAAGTCTCTTTCCGACCAGAATCTGGCTTAGATCTTGGAGTAGATCTAGGCGACTTCCCTAATTTCACGATTGAAATCATGCTCCTTAACCGCCATCGAATCGTTGATTGCGACATCACTTTCCTCAACTCGGGAAATAACTTTCAATTCCAAATCTAGGATCTAGGTATATCAAACTTTGAGTTTTATAATGATGAAATAAGATTTGGTATATCATCACAAGCCACTTTATACCCATCACGGTGTTTAAGATCATGTTGCTTTCTACTCTAAAGGAGTCGCCACTTTCCAACTGTCATCAATCGGAATTCAGCGTGTAATACTACACAAGATCGATGATCCAAGATCTACACAAAGTCTTTCAACGCGAATCAATAATCTGGAATACCTTTATGTATCGAGATGATACCATTAAAACTGTGGAATCCGGATTGGTAAAAAAGAGAGAATTAAGGCAACAAGTATAGTAAAACCTCTATATATAATAATATTAAGATCAATGTATTTTACTAAATTTTATTAATTTATAATTTTTATTCATTTATAGAGGTGATATTTGGACCAAATTATCAATTTAAAACAGGAGAAAGTTATTAATTAACGAGATAATAATTTATCGAATATTAATTTATAGAAGTTTCACTTTAATGGTTGTAGATTAGAGATATGCTGTTTTATATGGTAACAGAAGGATTAATTCTCAAATCAATGTTGACATCCATTGATGTTGGAGATGAACATCTGATGATTCATGACGCATGTAAGGAACAAAGAAAGGAATATCATTTCAAACATTTTATTAAAGATACAATGAGGAGATGGTTAGTTGTGATGAAGTTACACTACCCATATGTTGCCATCGAAATTGATTATAACGACTCAGAAGAAGGATTCGATTTTCTAAGAAAAACATATGAAGCCTCTACATCACCAAGATGCTCACTAGAATTTCTAGTTTGGATTCCGTACTTCTTTTGGTTTACTAGTAGATTTTAAAGATGTATTAGTTGGTTACAAAAATACGATAAGTTTCAATCCCAATTACTCTAATAAGATCCACAATTGTTCATCCATGCTTTACAAAGAATACATGCTTTTAGAAATATCGTCATGTATTCCTCGATTACTTTGGAAGAGAAGATGAGTGAAACTCCCGACCGAGCGTAATGAGTATCTACTAGAAGCATCGAATATATTGATTTCAACAAAACTACAAGATTCAGATTCATTTTCAACAACATTGAATTTTCATATATTATTTAAATTAGAAATGCCGGAGTTTCAGCATCAAGCTGATAGCCACTAAAAATGTATGAAAGGGGAAATTAACAAATCATATATGTTACCTATAAGACTACCAAAGTATAGCTGAGTTACTTCCAACCCTTTATCGAATGTGTTTCAATTTTCTATATTTACGTATCACGATTGTTTGGAATGTTTTCTGTATTTTGTAAACAATAAAAAGATATTTTTTAACTTTCCATGCTAAAAGAAAAAACATCTACGGTAAAAAAACAAAAGAAAAATAGAATCAAATGTTTTAAAGTTGTAGCAAATTTCATATCCTTTAACGTGAAGTCATCTCAAAAAAAAAAGAATACGACCATCTTAATTCATGCATACCCTAAAATATATTTGAGTGTGTATAGCAATCTTTGCACCTCTCTATGATAAATTTAGAAATTTCCATCAAAAAACCTTTCAACTTTCTTTTCAGCAATATTTGTTGAAACAGTTTCATCTTCATTTTCTCAGTTCCACAACACTGAAGTAATATATGTATCGTATTTGATATTCAAAAACTCATGTTCATTCAATAGGCACATATGACCTACAAACCACATCGCACTGAGAATTTAGGGCAGTTAATAACAATATCAAATCTCTGTATTCATTAGTTACAAGGTGATTAGTTCCCCTCATATAAAAAAAAAAGAGTAGTGTGATAAGGTTATTGCATCTAATTATTATTTTAATTTTTGACATTTTTTAAAGGGTCAATTGCATAGTTTTTTTTTGTTTTAAATATTAATTTTGACAGTTTTTTGAAAGTGGTCTATATTACGTCTATTTGCAAGTTACTTAAAATCGAACAAGAATATTGGTAATAATCCTTCATAGATTGATGGCCAGTGGCGGAGCTAGCCATTATGGTTATAGGGGTCAATTTTTATCTAATGACTAAAATTTATTTCGAAACAAATTTTTGTGGGGGTCAATAAGCAAATTTTAAACTATTTTTGTGAGTTTTGCTTCTAAATATACAAGTAAATAAATAATTTTTATAAATTCATAGGGGTCAATTGACCCCCTTGTTATGCTTATACCTCCGCCCCTGTTGATGGCCAAGAAAAGAAGGTGTAAACTTCAATATAAATTACAACGAATTATAAAAACAATGGGAGAACAAGTTAAACAATTAAATTTTAGAAACAAAAATAACACACACACAAAAAAAATACAAAGATTTTCTCTACCATCTTACAGATAAATGGATTTCCTTTGCCATAATATTGTAGTTAAAAAGGTGGTTTGAGAATTTAGGGTGAGACAATAAGAAACTTTTAGAATGGTGAATGAACCTAAGATTGGAAAAACATGATATCATAACATCTTGCAATAACTTATGAAATCGATTTGATTGGAGACTCAACTTCAAATTAATCATCTCCAACAAAATTTTTGTTCCAAATTTATCATCTTATTTTGGCAAAGTTAACGATTAAAATGAAAAGTCAACAAAAATTCGCGATTTAATTGAGAAATCAATAAATGTTAGCTACATATATTTCGTCAAATGCAAGTTGAGCCTTTTTAACGAAATCGATAAGTTGAAGCTTTTTTTGACATTTTGCGCAAAAAAAATCATCTATACATATATTAAATAGTTATGTGGGGCATGGGGCATCACTTTGTTTGTAAAGATAGGTGCATCCATCTATACATCCATTCTCTCGGTCTTGGAGTCGTGTGTCGTCTCTAGTTTGAGAATATATAAATATTACACTAACTTTTAGGTATGCCTTCTACCTCATCTATCAGATACGGGTTTTAAAATTTTTGATCCGTATTTGACCCACTACAAACCTAGTACTTAGGCTAACGAATGCCTGCTAAATTCATAGTACCCGCAAGTAAACAAAAAGGCTGATGTGTAAACAAGTCTTCTAAAATACCGGCTAATGTAACATTGTGGAAAATTATATTGATGTTTGAGAAGAATCTTATTCCAATAAGGGTAATATGAACAGGAAAATCTTGATCAAAACCAAATATGACTGATTTTAAGGAAGAGAATAACTAAAACATAACTAAGCTCATGAGTTTACATCTTTTGTACCTCGAATCAACTTGCGTTAGAATTTTGCCTAGGAAACTATTTCTTTAGTACCAATCACTTGCTCGTATTTGAACTGATGTAACAAGTGAAACTGATAAACTGTGGATGACAGACAATTAAACAAGAAAATGCACCACAGTTTTGTTATATGACTATATAAACAAGTTAGAATAAATATCATAATAGTTCAAAGGACCAATGTGAATATTGAAAATAGTTAACTTATAAACGGCGAGAATATCCAGAACCTCCACATTTCTTGCAAAAAATCAAACCTACATTAACAAAAAAAAACTTATTCATATGTTATTAAGAAACAACTGCATATAGCACCAAAAAAAGAAAAAAAGATTAAGAAATGGTTAAGTAATTAAGTACCTGAACCTTTGCAGACTTTGCAATTAACCATCCCAGATTCAACCTTCATCTTCCCTTCTAGGCAGAATACACATTTCGTTCCGCCTTTTCGCGCAAACCAATCAAACAAAAAGGATTATAAAGACAATTAGTCTCGAAAAGGGAATGAGAATACTTGTGAAACAATAATCTTAACCATTACTTACTTCCATTGAACAGTTCATAAAATAAGTATCCAATCAAAAGAGAAGCATGGTACAGAGTAAAACTAGTTATGGATTTTTTGAAAGATAACTTACATATAACCTAATGGATTCTGATTTATTCTTCTAGGTGACTAAAAATTTAATCATTTACTAATCATAATGCAAGAATAGAGATAGAGTTTCAAGAAATGAAATTTTCATGTAAGAATAAAAAGAGATTCACCATTTCCACCACATCTCTCACATGGAACTGGATCTCCCTGCAACAATCAATAAGACATTAAAAGATTTTAAAAAAAACAACTAAAATTTCTTAAGTAAATGACTCATTGAATCAATATGAAACCTTGAAGCCAAGGAAGAGAGATAGAGCAATGGCTACAACGAGACTGATAGTAACAATGAAAGTCTGTGTATCGATGAATCCGCCACCGCCATCGAAGCCGCTACTTAGGAAGAGAACTGAAGGGTGAATGATGAGACTAGCCGAGGATTGATGAGCACTTGTTCGTGACCACTTTCTATGCTGGCTGATTAGTTCTGGTTTCTGATAAGAGAGAAATTGTGGTGTTTGGTTTAACAAAGAAGATGAAGAAGAAGAAAGAAGTTGCAGAGAGATGAGAGGTCGAGTGGCCATGGATTCATTAAACAAAAACACTCAGAGGATCATAGCAAAGAACATGTGGATGAAGAAGAGGAAAAAAGAAAAGAATCCGCCCATTAATGGGCCTAATGGGCCTTTTAAACATGGCCCATTTATTTATTTACGATAAAACCAATGAGTTATAAAAATCAGCTTCTTCCTTCTTCATCGAGACCAAAATTTCTAGGGTTTTGAAGAGTTTCTCAATCGCCGTTTGTTATTCCTCTGTGAGCAAATCGACGAAATGGGTCACTCCAATGTCTGGAACTCTCATCCGAAGAAGTACGGACCTGGATCTCGTTTATGGTAAATCAATCATCTTTCTCTATCTCTCGCGTTTTGCTTTGATTTGTTTGGTTCTTACAAGTATAGAACTTGAACACCATTTCCTTGTTCTATGATGGATCTTATCCTCTATGATTATGTTTTGGGAATTATCTGATACTGACTGTGTTTTGAGACAGAGAGATTTTGCTTTGATGATTTGTGTGTTGTGGTTATATGTGAGATTAGCTATGTGTTATATTTGGCAGTCAAGTTTCTGAAATTGTATTTTGCAAATTCTTGTCTTAATGTATGAGATTGTTATGTTTGGTTTCAGTCTTCACCATTTGAGATTAGCTATGTGATTATGATTATGACTTTGTATGTAGCTGATTATAGTGATTTAACTTATGTATGATAAGATTGCTATACTTGGTTTCTCTATATATATAGCCGTATGTGAGCTTTGTTATGTCTTATATTTGGCATTTGAAGATTCTGACTTTGTATTATGCAATTGTTTTATGTATGTAGCCGTGTGTGCGGGAACTCCCACGGGCTGATCAGGAAGTATGGATTGAACTGCTGCAGACAGTGTTTCCGCAGCAACGCCAAGGAGATTGGATTCATCAAGGTATAATTTCAATCCCACCGACTTCTGTTTGTTTCATTCTATTTTGGTATATCTGTTTATTCTGATTTTGTGTTCTCTGTTTCTACAGTACCGTTGATCAAGCACCAACTTCATGATTGATGCTTATAAAACACACATGATGGCATCGATGGGTTTGGCTTTGAAGCTCTTGTAGTTTTTGATATTTTTACTTTGAGAACCTTGTTATTTTGAGAGTTTATAAGTTGTTGTACCTCTCATTAAGCATAATCTTTTTGGATCAATGATGTTTTAACTATTCTCGTATTTTTGTTGTCAGTCAAATTTGATCAATAATTTGCATGTTATTAGCTATCACAAGATTCTTCCAAATATCCATATGATAAAGCGTATGGCAATAGTATCTTGGCTTCTTAGAACACTTGTTTTAGACACAACAAAAGCTTCAAACAATTACTTTTGATATTTGGATTAGGACAGACGTTTCTTGTGTAAGAGACCCGTAATCAAAACTACCAAACTTAAAATGTGGAATTCATTGACTTTTCTTATCAAAATCATGAATTGTTCTTAAAGAATCCTTTAGACAGTTTATCAAAAAAACAAAATCCTTGAGACCAAAAGATTGTGAAAATTTAGAGAAGGAAGAAAGCAGATCATTGACTTGAAAATCCAACAATAACAAAACCAAAACACCTACGATTACCAGGACAATTCAATACAAGTAGCTGAAACGCCATATATAAAACAATTGTAACGAAATTGAAATGCTTCATCATCAGTTAATTGTGTTCCATCATCTTCCTTTATCTCAAACTTTACATAGAACTCTATAGTCTAAACTACTTTCTACCTATGTAACAAAATTATATGCAAGACACAGAACAAACTACAAAGCATTGATCATCAAGACCAAATAATTTGTCTTCTCAGCAATAAACCACAAGGCCAAAAACCTTATGAAGAAACATTTTGAACAAATCGTCCTGATCATGAAAACAAATCGTTCTTCTTCTTTTTCTTCTTCTCGTTCCCATTCTCCTTCTCCGTCTCCTCCTTTGTATATAAACCTAATCCAGCCAACAATACGAATAATTAATAAGGATGATAAATATTGCTACGAAGAGGACAAGCAATATATAAGGAGAAAGTTAAACCTTCGTTTTTGTGGATGGAGTTGTAATTTATCCCTGCTAGATAGCTCAAGTAAATGACTCTATCGGGTTGTTTTCGAGACTTGGGAAGAAGCTCAGTGGAAGTGATATCTTTGAACGATGTAATGAGTACTATTTTAACTCCATAAACATCTGCAGCTGCTTTCAATGTGACTTCATCACCCCACACTTAGTTATTCGACATGTTCTTTACATACTCGGAGAATTCCATCTTATCAACAAATCATTTGTACAATTTTGGATGATATTTTAGCTGATTAGGAAAAAAGGGTCAATAATCAATCATCATCATACGTTAAAAAAACAATCTGCGAAGTTAGAAAAAAGTTTTCGAGATTTGTGATTTACCTGTTGTATGATTTCTTGTCTAACACGTTTATGACAATCCGAGGTTTTGTAGAGTTGATCAGCTAAAGCACGGAACTGGCAATTTCCATCACTTTTTATCTTGATCTCTGTGTAACCTTCCCACTCCAATCTGAAAACTATAGAGTCACAGAGAGTTATCGGGAAAAACAAAATTGAACAAGAACAATCGATGGATATATTACCTATCCTGAAGTCTTTCGTGATCATTGAGATCGTCAAAACATCTTGACTTAATCCGAGTGTTAGGCATATTTTGAGAGTTGGAATCGAACGATGATTGATACAAAACAAACTTGTCGTGATCGAAACCCTCTCTGACAAAACGAGTAGGGTTCGGTTCATACTTCATACTTCATAGTTCATACAAAAAAAAAAAGGGTTAATAATGAGTCCCGATTACTTGAGAATTGGGCCTAGGCCTGGAATTTAAGCCCATATTTATCACCATCCTTTTCCTATATCATTGTTTATCACCATCCTTTTCCTAAATCAAAAGGAAATAGCTCAAGATAAAAAGGAATGTGTTTTAAGCAAAAGGAAAAAGATAAAAGTGTATATAAACACCAAAGCTTCTTAGATCTTCTTAATTAGTAAAGAGATTTGAAGAGTTCTCAAGGTTTATATATGATCTTGGTGAAGCCTAGTTGTCACGATTGTCTTTGTAGAGACATAGCGAGAAATAGGCTAGGGTTTCTTCTATCTAAAGAATTTTCTATCAAAATTGTTTTTCGAAAGAAACCTCTGTGTTGCAGTTTGTGTTTATAGAGAGTTCTCGCGATTTCAATGAGGTCTCTGATGATACGCCATGGAAGAAAGGCTCTGGAGTTACATAAGTGGTGTAGTTTGATATCATCATTAGAGCAAAACGCATCTACTTTTTCCAATTCTGCTAGTGCTACATCATCACACGTGAGTTCTAATGAGACTTTTATAATCTCTAATCTCATTGATTTATATCGTTGGACTAGAAAAATTACACAACTGATATTAGAGGAAGATGAAGAGGAAGAGGAAGATTCTGATTCCGTGTCGAATCTCACTAGAAGTCATTGTCGTATATCTAGAAACATTACTTGTTATCCACGCCATCTTGTAGCAGATGGTGTTGAGAAAGCCATTCCCCCAAAACTTGATCAGTTTCTTCAGTTCAGAGGAGCTTCAAGCTCTATCAGCTTCTACAATGATTCCGTTAGAGACATTTTACGGGCGGATAGTACGATTTCACCACCATGTAAGCAGGAGAATATAATCCGAGATGTATTCATTTTGAAACAACTAGGCGTGCCTCAAGAGTTGTTAATCCCCTTGCTCAACTTCAATACCTCTTTCAATGGAAAAGAAAAATACAAAAAATCCATCAAGGAGGTCATTGAGGAGAGTTTTGATCCGACCACCTTAAAAGTTTTCCAAGCTCTGCGTGTTTTTTACTTATTGAGGGACTAAACAATAGAAGAAAAAGCCAATGACGGCATGGCTGTGGGAGATGTATGGGCAATGTTCAAGAAGCTTCCACACTCTCTGACAATCTCGGAGAAGAAGATAACTCAAAACATGAATTGATGGCTATTTTCACTGGAAAGAAGAGAAAACAAGAAAAAAGCTTCTGAATAAAGTTGTATCATCTCTTACTTGTTCATTGCCATTTTTCTTGTAACTTGATGTGATTACAATTACACGATGCATTGATGAGGAGGCAATGACATATTGATTAACTGATTCTCTTAAGTTCATGTTTCTTTCTTCTATATTCGTAAGTTCTCATTGATTCCTTGGATTCTTATATCTTATTCAAGGAGTAGTCATTAATTATAGCTTAACCATTGGAAATTCTTGAGAATATGACAACAAATCAGAGAGATGTGAAGCAGAAGCCACATATATATAAAATTCTTAAGAATATAACTTCTTGTTTTGTAAAATTACTGACTCCTCCTCAACAAAAAAAATTCCGATTTTGACTAGATTCAATTAGAAAATAGCAGTGTTCAAGAAAGCGCTAGGCGCTAAGCGGGCGGTGACCCAGTGCCTAGCGCCTAGAACGCCTAATCGGGGCCTAGACGATTTTTTAGGCGGTTTAGACGTTTATAACATAAAACATTATAAATATGATATTATATATAAAGGTTATATAAAATATCTATATAAAACTAAAAATTATAAAATTATAAACAAAAACTAGATAAAACATTTATTTATATTTATATTAAACAATATAAGAATATTTATAACTATATATATAAATAAAACTCTAATTGAAATTTTAAAAAAATATTAAACAAGATGTATGTAGTTTTAGGCGGTCAAAGCGGTTATCTAGGCGTCGCATGAGAGCCTAGCGCCTAGTCGGGGCCTAGGCGACCGCCTAGACCGCTTTTTAGAACATTGGAAAATAGTGAAGGCAATAAACACTTATATGGAATGATAATAGTTTGAGTAAACCTTCAAGACGTTCGACTCCCATAAGTACCAATGGCAAGTAGCTCAGGAAGTTATACAACAGAGCAATGTACTAAATGACGTGGAGCCGGAGTGAGGAACTCAACACATACATGGCAATATATGATCCAATAGACTGTTGTTGAGATAGTGTTTGGAGAGGATATTTGAAGTTTGAAGAGAAATTTCCTTTTTCATGTGGAAAAAGGAAACATGTCAAATTCCATTAACGATTAGTATTGATCCGTTAAATAATAATTACGCTTATATGACCACGACTTATTGTTTTTTTTTTTTTTTTGAAGTGAATGTAAAATTTATTCAACCAAAAAACTATTTACAATAAATGCATTTGTTTGTTCTAAAATTTTTGAAAGGAAAACAGAGTGTAAAGTTCTGAAAAGAAATGCAGAGAAGATTTGATTAAGGTGGAGGTCGCGTGGAGAACCAGAGCATTAGGCATTAGCTATGGTCTCCCACGTCTCTGATCGAGCTAATTCTGTTCCGCACATTCTTGTCGATAAGCTTTGTAAGGCGAGTTGAAGGTGAGCTGATTTCATCATGTCTTCTTACATTTCTCTCTCGCCAAATATGATAGAGGGAGGCTTGAAAAACGTAACTGAAGAGGAAGAGAAGATCCTTGGTCAGAGTTGAGTTGCAGAGCAGTGCTACTAATTGATCCCAAACGACTTATTGTTTTTAAATAGTGTGCCAAGTTTTTGTAGAGATTAGCACAAGAGAGAGCAAAAAAATTCTTAAACAGTAAGGTTTTGGGTTTCTTGTGACAAAGCTCAACGTTTAAGGGGTCTAAGAGATTATTTGTCTTGAGAGGTTTGTGGATTGAGTTAGATCCTTGAAACGTGAGAGATTAGATAATTATTGAGTGAAACTTGTAAGTGCATGTACTAAACAGATTTTCTAATAAAAAGTTTGATTTTACGAAACCCGTGTCTCAATTTAGGCTATAGTTCATGTACTAATTAGCTCTTGTGTTTTTAACTGGTTCTATCTTGTCGAGCACAAACTCAGGAAAGATGCAAATGACGCCATGGAAAGAGTGCTCCATTATTTTGCCAATATATATACCAATCTTCTTGAGCATTTCGGCGGGTTACATGTCTCCCAAATATGTAAGGCGTGGCCATTTCTCAATGAAATTTAATTTCTGTAGCTTCACATTGTTAGTTCTTGAGATTATAAGCAGTAGGAAGAATTACAGACAGCAGACTTGGCTTGGTCACATATGTAAGTTTCACGTCAATCAAGTTTTCTTCCTTTCTTGCAATAACCAAATGTTGCATGATTTTCTAGGCGTAATGGAACAGCGTTAGATCTCGTGAATCCAATTATCGTAGATTATTTAAGGAAGAGTAAAGTGGTTTGATGCATCCATATCGGATTATGGGTCTTTTATTTGTTAAAGAAGATCTTATAAAGCGTCTGACCTTGTTAACCATTTTCGTGATCATCAATAGTAACACTGTGACGTTACGATTAATTCGCTCGAAAACCAGGATTTTTAATACTGTGAATTTCTTTCAGAGTAGAAAGCCGCTTGACTCCGATACATCTACCTCGAGCAAATCGATATATACCAACATCATATTAAAGATATGATGATATGATGCATCGAAAAATGATTTATATCCTCGTTGGATATGATGTTTACCCTCGAAACAATCACCCTAATTCTAATAACATTTTACATAACCTACAAATATTTACATCTCTTTATCATATAATTATGCCAATACGTAAAATCCGAAACTAAAAAAAGAAATTACAGTTCCCTATTTTAATAGACTCTAAAACCCTAAGTATACATACATCCTAGAGTGAATTTGTGAAAAACAAAAACGGAGTATAAAATTAGGAAAAGGACATTAGGGATGATTCTCTCTAATGATGTCCAAATAAGGGTTGAAAAAGGGTTTGGGGTTTGGATTTGACAGTTATTACAAAAAAACCAATACATGTTTTGTATCTTCGCGTGGGGGGAAAGTATATGGCCTTAAGAAAAACCAAAAAAATAATCTAACATTTAATAAATGCTCAACAATTAAACTGACCTTTACAGCGCAATAGACAGAACAAAGTGTCTGTTACTAATGCGGCCGACTTTAATTTGAATCTATAACGAAAATGTATGGATGAAAATTAAAAAAAAAATTAAACCACTAACCTAATTACGTAGCAATCTATTACTAAATCTAGCACTAAATAGTTTGATATATAACTCTATGAAAGTGTATTGACATATACTCCCTCCGTTTCAATTTAGTTGTCGTTTTAGGATTTAAATGTTGTTTCATAATAGTTGTCGTTTTAGGTTTTCAATGCAAATGTTTGGTAAAAATTCTAGTTTTATCCCTACTGTTTTAATGTTTTGGCCAATGAAATTTTTTATAAAATATATTAATAAAAGGTAAAACAGAAAATTTAATGATTTTCTTAATTTGTGTGCAAAAACCTTAAACGACAACTAAAACGAAACGGAGGGAGTAGCTTATAAAATTATAGATAAATAAATTCATTAACTAATTTGGAATTTTTGATGAAATTTTATATTTTTCTAGGAAAAAAGCATGCTTCGATTTATTTCATGCATAGGCTATATGCTCCATCGTCTTCTTACTTTTCACCCTAAAATTTTTCTTTTGGTATTATTAGTTTATTTATCTAAATCTTGATCCATCTCCATAAATTTCTTTAGATCTGCATCTATGTTTTGTAGATCTATTTGTGGAGATCCGAAAATTGTTGTAGATTCCTATTTGTATCTAAAAAGTTGAATCTCCCGGCGAATAGATATACTCTATAATTCTCTAGTACGACAGTGGGAATAGTAAACACGTCGCTGTTTTTCTATTCGGTTTGAATGAATTAGAACAAAATTAAGAGAGAGATGAATATGAGAAAAAAATAAACATTCAAGAGTTAGAAATTAAAAACGAAAACAAGACGTCAGATGCGTGAGATTAAAGTGGAAAGGAAAATGAGTTAAATATTAGTCCCTCTATTCCTAAAAGATTGATGTTCTAGCTTTTGTTATTTGTTCCACAAAAATTGATTTTCTAGCATTTTTCTTTATTTTATTGATTTATAATAGTAAATTGTAAACTTTAAGATACAATGATTATAAATAATTAACTTTTTTTCGACTACTCTACTATTGGTTGATAATTATTAAAATTATTTAAGATTAAAAACAATGTTAAAATGATTAAACAATGATTGAGTTCTTAATATGTGAAAACTCCAAAACATCAAACTATTAGAAACCGTGGGAATATCATTGTCCTAGACTTCTTTTCAATATACCAAAAATTTTATTTGCCAAAAAATAGATGTCTCCTACCCAATTATCTCTACATTCTAAATAAAATATTCACCACCGGTTAAATTAGACCATAACCTGGAAGCATTCTCATACGTTTTCGTCAATAGCATTATTTCATTCATTCATAATTCTTCAAATAATTTTTTAACTCTTTTATTTGATGTTTCCAGTCATTTAGTATAAGTAAAACAATTCGAGTTCAATCTAAAAAGTAAAAAAAACATATGACTTCGTGATAATCCAATTTTAGAACGTTATTTCTGTACAGGTAACATTAACCAAATACATTGCATGCGCTTGCACAAATGGTAAAGAATCTCTGTAATTTAACTTACCAAAAAATGGAAAATGTGTTGTTGACTCCCTTATATAATTATTTTTTTCTCATTTTGCTATTAACAGGTAAAAAATAAAACTTTATATAGATATTATCTAGTGATTTCAAAACTCTTTCTTAATTTCCCCAATTTTCCTCCTTATATTTCTTATTATGCATCTATTTAAATATGGGAAAATAAAAAACACATTTACTGTATGAACTAAATTCTTTGTATTGTAGTATTGTTTGTTGATATAATCTAGTATATAATAATGCATAGATAGAATTATTAAAACCAGTTCATAAGAAAGAGCCTGAGAAAAGCATATTCCAGATATTTGGCTATCTATTTGTAAAACGAAGCCAAGACAATCCAAGCATTGGTCTGGTGGGATAAGAATCAGGTACAAATTTGAGTGACTAATATGAATAATCTACTTGAATAATATTGGTTTATATATAGTTTTTTTTTTGTTGATGATAAATATTGGTTTATAGTTATTAATGTTTTCTTTCTGATTCAACAACTGTAGGGTGAAAAACGGATTTGTAACTTATAATTTCACTGTGACTCGCATAAGAAAGTTGTGAACGAAAGAGATGTCGATCCATCAAGCGAATGAAGTGGTTGTGAGCGAAGGTGAAGACAATGTTCCATTGTCGACGTTAAGAACCAAAGACACAAAGTTAAAGCAGAAGAGGGAGGAGAGTAAGGACATGCAAGTGAAGAAGAAAGCAAAGTTCGACTGGAGACCGAGTGATTCTTGTGCGAAGTCAATTGGCAAACCGATTAAGTTTACTGGTAAGGGAGGAAACAAGAAATGTCATTACGAGACATTCGAGTTTCATGGCAAAGAATATAGACTGGTGAGTTTTGTTATGTTTTAAGAACTGATTACAAAAAATTTCTAGAATTATTTTTTTAAAAAATAAGAGTTACGATTAGTTATACAACATTTTTTAAATTTGTGTGATAAGACAAACGATATTCATTATGTAACATATTTTCTTTTTCTGTTCTATCTGTGTAGTTATATTGTAGTATCATTTACATTAGATTTTTCTTCATTTTTCGTAGGAAGACTTTGTGGAATTGGTTCCAGAAAACCCAAACCAAAAGGAATACATAGCGATCATCAAGGTAAAAAAAAGATGAAAAAAATGTTTATATAATTTTCAGTTGTTCATATCATAATTAACAATAGATATGATTTTTTGATTGTTTGTTGGACAGGATATTTATATACGAGAAAAAGATGGACTTGTGAAAATGTTGGTGCAATGGTTTTACCGCAGAGAAGATATCGAAGAAAAAGATGTTGGAGAGTGGAAATCCGAAGACTCAAGCGAAATTTTCTTCAGTTTCCATTGTGATGAAGTGTGTGCTGAATCTGTGAAGTACAAGTGTTTTGTGTATTTCGTGCCGGATGATAAGCAAGTTCCAAACCGTATTCAGTCTTCCGGCTTCGTCGTGCAAATGGTTTATGATAATGTTCACAATGAGATGATGAAGTTCTCTGATGAAAGCTTTGACGAGGAGCAAAAGTTTGAGATTGATATTCTTGTGGCAAGGACGATTTCGAGAATTGGTGATCTCGTTGACGTTGAGAAAGTCCAAATGACTACAATTCCGAGGCGTAAAAGATTAGTTAGGAAGTGTGAGAGAATGAGTTCTAGGCCGATCTCGGACAAGTTAGAGTCGTTACCATCCAGTGATTTGGATCGTGACAAGATATTGGTGGAGCTTTTAGAAGTAGTACTTAAGAACTTGTGTTCTGAAAGTACGGGGACCACCCGAAAGGATGTTGTTCAGGTGGTACTTGCTCTTGAGGAGGCTTTATATGATTCTTTCGCAGATGATATACCAAAGTATAATTACAAGTTGGAGCTTCTGGTCAAGAGACTCAAGGTTAGTTTACTTCCTCTTTGCTTCATTTGTTTTCTATATTTTGTTCTTGATTTATTTAGTCATGCATTTGTTGATGGAATTAAGTCCTAGGCTTTCATTACAATTACTTCATTCTAAAATATGAAATGTTGCAACATTACAACAGAACATCGTAAAACGTATAAACATATATGTAATTGTTTATACGTATAGCGTTAAATAATTCGGCTTCTTACTATACATGGTAGATACCCCGTATATACGACTATATATCGTATATATACTTACATAATAGTATCTTGATTCACATCAATTACATGATCCAAGTAAGTTCTTCACTAATATTCTTGTCTCCAATAAATTGTTTAAAGATGTTCTCAGTTTTTTTACCGTTGACATTAGCTTTTAGTTTCTTCATTTATTACACGTTTGAATTTGAGTCTTTAGTTGTGATCTCTTATTATTTGTTTACAGAATTCAAGAGTGCTAGCTAGAGGACTTCTCAGTGGCAAATTAAAACCTGAACAAGCTATAAAGATGGTAATCTACTGGATTTCTTTCAGTAAAACTGGAATGTTTCTGTTGAGCCAATACCACTGAACCTGAATCGTTAGTTAGCAGCTCATAAACTGGTTTATATAATCACATCTTAAGTGTTTTTGACATGTTAAAGTGACATTCTAGTAATGGTAATCTACCCGCGGATTGTCTAACGATTAGCTTTTTTTTTTTCTCTTTTTTTACTTTTGATGAAATATAGGCCGACTTCGAAGAACCAATATTGGTGGAAGATGTTGCATCCACCTCCAAAAATGTTGGGCACGAAGATTGTCTCGAAGATTAAACAAGATACTAAACATTAGATAACATATTTAATGGTATCTTGCTCTTCTTTTCTTTGAATCTTAATCGTTTGAGGGATTTAAGTTCCTAGAGTTTCCTTTCAAGATGTGATGCAGATCATTTATTTATTTTATTTCAAGACTTATTATCTAAAACTTCAATTATTAAAGTTTAAATATGTCAAAAGACTCATATTGGTTACATGTGTTGGCATGTATTTAACTTATGAATCAAATTAATTTATGTCACTGTTTTTTATTTCCGGATAATTTAAATTGTTGTATATCATAGAATACAGGAGACTTTGTAGTCATAAGAGATAGAGAAATGGTACGATACATAGAGTTGTGTTCACTCTGTAAGTGATAAATGAGAGTTTGTGATATGATCTTCCTTAGGATATAGTAGGAGTAACTGTGCAAGTACCGATTGCATGATACACTATAACGACGTAACATGATAGATACACTATCTTAACAAATAACATACCACAGTTTTAAATATACGACATTGCAAGAATATGATTTTTATTTGTTGTCAATTAGATGCAACCACATTATAACTTACCATTTTCAAATTTCAGTTGTTAGTCCATATGTTGTATTAGATGAACTTATGATGGTTACTTATTTGATTTATGAATTGTATATTAGGCTTCATCTATTACGGTATTTCTTGGTGGTCATCTAGACATTAGACATACAAGAACAATATAACGAGTACACAAAAAATATTTTATCATATAGCCGTAACTGTTAAACCTAACTTATTAGGTGTTTTCGAAGTCGGGCTTCTTAATTAATGCTTATGTATAAGCATACACAAAATAACAGATGAATGAGATAGTTAAACAGATAAATATATAAACTTAGATTTTCACTTTATATTTTCGAGATTACTTGATTAATATATAATTTTTTTTTTTTTTTAACATCTTCATTTCATTAGGCCAAAAATTAATAAACATAGTTATTCAAAATACAAGCAAAACAGAGCAACGATAAAAACAAAGGCTAGGGTAGCCAAAAACATCGAGAGATCAGTGACCCGTGCGACGTTCTTCTGCAATTCGTTCATGCAACCACGCTGGACCACCAATGGCAGATCTAGAAATTTTGTTTCATGGGAGGGGGGATCGATATTTACAAAATATAAATATACATTTATGTAAGAAAAAAATTCATATAGTTTTTTCCTTATTTAATTATGATATATAAAATTAATAATGTATATAAGAAAAAGTAAAATGAATGCAATATTTTTATTAATAGGAAGATTATTTTAAAAATCATTAAAGTTTGAACGATTCAAAGAGTAATATTTAAAAATTTAGAGATTTTGAATTAGCATCTATTTGTTATAAATTTTACAAAAAATAAAATTTTAAACGACTCTCAGCATAAACTTAAATTTACCAGAATTTGTATACTAAAGTTTTAAATTTATTGCTTTATAAAAAACTCAAATATTTGGAAAAGGAACACATAAATAGAGAAATCATTTACCATATATATTAACCACCAAAATTATAGGAAATGACTGAGTTATCTAAATATTAAATTTCGATTTAATACAAAAAGAAATAAATATTACGGTATATGCATGTTAGACTACGTTGTTATTTAAATTTTTTGGAACTAAATTTGTAACGAATTAAGCTGCACTAAAGTATGGTGCCTATTAGAGGAACTCAAACCGTGAGTGACTATACTTGCAATGGGCGTCATGTGTTTGTCCATACAAGAGACTTAGAACGACCTCTCGTTGGTTCCATTTTACAGAGCATGTGGTGAAGATCACTAGTATACATAAACTATGTCCTAGTGAAGATCATCACTAGTATACATAAGATTCACTTAAACAAACTCCAAACTGGTGTAGAGTTTTTATTCAGCAAGCAAGGAAACAAAAAAAAAAAAACAAAAAATTCAACATTTTGTGTGTACTCATCATCATCTCTATGTTTTATACCATTTACAATGTAGGAGGTATCCAATGCAGCCATGAGCCTGCATATAACCAGCTTTCTTAAGTAGTTGATCTGCTTCGGCTGGGCCAGGGCTTCTTTGTTTGTATGGGATAGATTTCACTTCTCCCTTGTTCATCATGTGAAGCAGTGGAGTGAAGATTTCCCAACCTGTCTGTTTTGTGATTGATCACAGACATATATGTGTTTAAAGATCTTCTCAATGAAAGATTTCACAACAAATTTTGGTAAAATCAGATTGTGGAAGTTTGAAACATAGTTGAGTTGGGTTCTTGAAATGATGTGAAGTATCCAGGGGTTCTAAAGTGGTGAAGTAGAAAGGTAAAATTACCTTTAATTCGTCTCTGCGAACAAAGTGTTGTTGGTCGCCTCTGATTCTGTAGAGGGATACACAATAAAGTCAACTAATGGGATGAATAAAGGTATTGATATACAGAAGTATTGTTACTAGATTCTTACATGTCAAGAATAAGGCGTTCGTAAGCCTCTAGAATCGAGACATCTTAGTAACGCTTCTTGTACGATAGGTCTAGCTCACTCTGCAAGGTTTGCATCTCCAGACCCGGTTGCTTCGCCTGCGCAACAAAGCCAAAAACTTCAGATTGATTGAATGAATGCACAAAACTGAATCTCTCCCATTTTTGTAATATCATAAATTGTGGTTAGTTCATCAGGTACTTACAGTTAGCTACTTAGCTTCATGTACATGGTTCCTCCCTTGGTTTTGACCTTTTGTATTGCATGAGAGATTAGACCAACAAAATTTTTAGTATCAGTAAATACACTTGATATCTGAGAAGGTTTGATTTGGTCTCGACACAAAACATTTGAATATGTCGCCAGGAACATCTTTAAACCCGAATGTGAATAAATGCCTTCTTTGAACTCATTGCCTTTCCGGAACACCTGAAAGATACATCAATCCACAAGTTTGGAAATGTGATCAAGAAAATTTGTAATCACCTTCACTTTCTCATTTCGGATGTGCTTGGGTCTAAGCGAGATTGGTTTCTCCATGGCGACAAGGCAAAGAACCTGTAGTACACTAAACTAAGTTAATAAATGAAAGACATGCAACTTAATTCCCCAAATATTTCATGTCATATGGAGGTGGCTTTCAAGAAGAAAATTTCATGTTTTTCTTCACAGTAGACAAATATTTCAAATGTAAACACTTGCCTGGAGCAAGTGGTCTTGAATAACATCACGAATGATTCTGAAATGGAAGATTATACAAGTCATCAGAATTCAATGGTAATGTTGTCTCATCAAAATATCCCCCACGACCTTCAGTTTAAAAATCTTCTCTAAAAACGATATGCAAAAAAGAAAAATTAGAGATTATCTGTGCTAAGCTATCCAACTGTTTTGGACTAATTCTTTTCCAAAATTATGATCAAAATGATAAATCTGTGGTTCATCTAACAGCGCTCCAATCTGAGAACTCAGTTGCTGTGCAGAATCCAAGTCCTTTCCAAAATGGTTTCTCAACAATGACCCGAGTCCATCCACCAAGATCAGCTGGAAATATTATACATTCCAAAGAGAGTATTTACCTAATCTTTTCTATCTAACTATGTTAACCAAAACAAACGGAACTGCGATTGTGTAATCAAATGGACTAAGCAGCATTCTTCTCATTAACATGATAATATCAAATCAGATATAAAAACTTTAATTTCAATCGTCTCATTCTCAACAAAAACCAAAAGGCTCACATGCCAAACGTAGCTTAAGTCTGAAACATTGCCAAAAATAATTTCCAGTTTATACAATAACTAAATAATCATACTGTAGTTTTATCATAATATATCAGTTCCTATTAATCCTCAAAATAAGCAAATATATTTATTTATTTTACTTACCCACAATCCTTCTTTTACGCTCATGATCTTTTCTTGCTATGTTATTTCCAAAAAACGTTTTTAGAATATCTTCAAATTAGTTTTCGAAATCTCATAACTCGATTTCATTCAATTCTCCACCTTCAAATACTTTCTTATTTTCTGACATTCTCTCTTTCTTTTTTTTCTTCACCATCACTCAGTTTTTTTTTCTTCTATCTTCAGAAATTTGTCATGCACACTGCACTAATGATCATTAGGACTGTGTATTTTCCTACACAGTTTGGAGAAACATAAACTAAAGGTACTCCATCACTTTATGTTAAATACACTTACAAATAATTATTTAAATTTCGATCAAAAATTTCTATAAATTTCCAAACAATTAAATTTACAAATACCAGTCGCTTTGAGACGGAGCTTTGCGAAGGAAGTCATCCCTCACAAAATTGTGAGGGTATTGCAAGTAATTTGCTACGCAAAGGACGCGTGCCGCAATTCCGTCGCAAATATTATTGCGAGGAAAGTTTCCTCGCAAATTTGCGAGGGACTTACAAGTAATTTGCGGGAAATATTTACTCCGTCGCAAATCACCCGCACATAACTCGCAAATCTTTACCCTAAACCCTAAAATACATAAAACTGTTTTGCGATCTATGATTTTCACTTATAAATGTAAATCTAAGAGACCATATAATCAGACAAATTGAATATATGGTGATGCATAAAAAAAATGTTGGATAGGTTTCAATATTATCATTTTCATTTGAAATTATTATAAACATTGATTCATATTATAGAAAAACATTAGATGATCATTGATGTATTTGAAAGAAAATGCACATTCGGATGAATTCGAAGTATATGATGAGAAAGTAGATTCTAATGTAGATAATTAACTTCCTAATGATTCAAAAAAATGAATCTTAATGATTTTTGGTAGTGTTTTGTTGTTTTTTTTTCAAATTGGTTTCTATTTTGCGAGGGCTTTGCGAGAGGTTTGCCAGGGATTCTGGTAAATTCCTCGCAAATCACCCGCACATACCTCGCAAATCTTTACCCTAAACCCTAAAATACGTAAAACTGTTTTGCGATCTATGATTTTCATTTATAAATGTGAATCTAAGAGACTATATAATCAGACAAGTTGAATATATGGTGATGCATAAAAAAATGTTGCATAGGTTTCAATATTAACATTTTCTTTAGAAAATGTTATAAACATTGATTCATATTATAGAAAAACATAAGAT